GATGCTGGTAAATGTAGTCTTTACTTTGGGTATCCATGAACCTAGTTAAAAGTTGAGGTTCTATTACCATGAGAGGGAAGAGAGAACAGATACTGGGAAGTCACCAGCCATTGTTCCACAAGGGGCCGAGGCACAGCCAAACACATTTCCAGTTGGCAGGTAAAGGTTCAGCCTTGGACAGGGAAGAGAACAGACAGAACTAAAGAAATAGATTTGTGAGTACCAATCTGCTGAAACCATAAGCCTAAGCTTTTCTCTGGGGAAAAGTGCGTGTGTGACCTAATGTTAAGAAGAGAGAGAAGGAAGGAAGCATCTTGGTCTACAGTGGAACTCTAAGTAAGAGAGGTGAGCAAGGCACTGGAGAGGCCTCAAGCCTCCTCCTCAATCATCATGGAGTCCCACATCACCCAGCAGCAAGCCTGCTGCAGCTTCCTTGCCACCCTTCGTCACTGGCAGGGAGCAGCCCTGTGAGGCATGGAGGCACGGGTGGCCTTGTTACAAATGCAGCTGTAGATTCCACAGCATAATGGTGGGGCCAGGAGTTAATTATGTTACCTGCAACTGAAGATGTGAGGTGCCATTCTCATTGTGCCAGCAGGGCAGAGAGTGAGGTAAACATGCTGATCTTTGGGAATGAAAATGATGAGGAGGTAGGAAGAATGGAGTTTGTGGACTGGGCGCAATGGCTCACATCTGTAATCCCAGGAGTTCAAGACCAGCCTGAGCAACATAGTGAGACCTCACACCTCTGCAAAAGGTGAACAAAATTATCTGGGGATGGTGACACATGCCTGTTACCCAGCTACTCAGGAGACTGAGGTGAGAGGATCGCTTGAGCCCAGGAGGATGAGGCTATAGTGAGCTGTGATTGTGCCACTGCACTCCAGCCTGGGTGACAGACTGAGACCTTGTCTCAAAAACAAAACAGAACAGAAAAAGCACAAAAAACAAAACAAACAAACAAACAAAAAACAAGTTGTAGAAGAAAATGAGAGAAAGAGGAAATAACATAGGGATCTTGATAAAGGGGAGTAACCAGAATGCAGGGAAATGTCATTGGTAAATTTTTTCTCAGCCCTATTACTTTTGTTGTTTGCTAAGCCCCAAAGAGGAAGTTTCTTAATTAAAAGTCTTATTTACCTCGGAAAGCAGTAAAATAGCCCATAGAGAAGAGGCCTCTGAACGACACCAGAGAGTGGAAGAACACGGAGCAGAACAAAGAAGTGAACATTTGAAGACCATTCTGAAGTCCTCACCTGTGAAGCAATGATTGGGCAGCACGGCTGTGGGAGAGCAGATGACCTGTAGGGCAGGGAGTAGCCCATCCTGGGTCTCTGTGAAGGTCTGGCTGTTAACCGCAGCGTCCACGGGGGCCTCCACAGCCAGGCTGGGTGTGGGTCTTCAGGGAGATCCCGTTCAGTCAAGGAGCCAGTTGGTAGGCGCTGAGCAGCCAGTGGGCAGCACAGAAGTGTGGCTCGCAGAGGATGGGGGCACGGCACCCAGCATGTGGCTGGAGAGGCTGATCTTGTGAGGACATGTGCTGGGCAGGCTGACCCCACACAGGCAGCACCTGTCAGGTGGTGCCAGGGCGGAAAGAGACGCTGCGGTGCAGCGCAGCGCACAGCAAGAGATCCTCCAGCAGGACGTGGCAGGGAGTTGGGGTTGGTTTGGCTGAGAAGTCCCTTAGTGTCTTGGCATCCTCTTCTCTAAGCCCCTATCAGGTACTCACTACCTGAGCATCATCTTAGATTTTCCTCTTCTATTTCAGTTTGCAGTAATCTCCATAAAAACATTCTATTGCCTAGGTCTTTATTACCTTGAAATGTGTATCACACCTCGTAAAAAGGCTTTAGTTTGTTTTATTGCCAATTAGGACTCTTCACAACAGCTATTTGCCTCTGCAGGGAGAACTTCATTTCAGCCTTCAAAGGCGTGAGTTGTCATTGCCTAGTCACTGAACAACACTAATGATGGGTTGGTATGTAAATTATCCATCATTCTTCTCCATGTATTCTTTCTTTTTAATACAAACATTTTACTATATTTTCTAATAAGTGCAGAAGTAGAAGGATTGGCCTCCCCACTTGCCAGTGTTCTACTGCCCTTGCTTGATACATACCCACCCTCACATTTTTACCTTACAGTGTTTTTAAAGCCATTCCCAGATATTTTCTCACTCCATCTTAGACACTTTAGCATGTCATCTGTAACAGGTAAGCCTTTAAAAAAGATATAACCACCAACATTATCACACCACACAAAATTAGCAAAACTTCTTTATTATCATCTAACACCCAGTCTATATTCAGTTTGCCCCAGGTGTCTCGAAAATGTCATTCTGTAGTTGGGTTTGTCTGCTTCTGGATCTAAACAAAGTTCACACATTGCATTTAGTTGCTGTGTTTCTGAAGTTTCTTTGATTCTTAAACTGTTCTCTTTTCATCTGTTTGGACTTTTTCTTTTTTTTTTTTTTGGCAACATATTTGTTGAAGAAGTGGGTCATGTGTCCAGCAGAATGTCCCACAGTTTAGATTTGGCTGATGGTAGCCTCACCGTGTTATATACATGGTTCTCTGTCCCCCGTGTTCCCTGTGAACTTGTGGTTGGATCCAGAGACTTAATTTGATTCAGGTTTGATTTTTTTTTTCTGGCAAATAATACCTCATAGCTGTTAGTATTACATCACATCAGGAGGCATATATGCCCAGCTGTTCTACTTTTAGTTATAATAATGTTGATTAATAGGTTTACATGGCGCCCACTCAACCTGTCCATGATAGAGTTCTCCGCCTGCTTTTCCTGGTTTTAGCAGCCATTGACTCAGCCCCATGGTGAAGGCCTCAAGCTTCTCTTGGGATACCTCTTTTTCAGGAGCAGCCAGCTTGGGTAGCTAGCAGTCATGCCTGGGGTTAGAGTTGGCCTTGCCCACAGTCTTGGAAATTGGTCGTCTATTGATGCTGTCATCTCAGGATATAGAGTTATTGGTCACACATATGCAACAAAATCCCTTTGGAATTTCACATTTTGCCATTCTGTTTTTGAAAGTTGGTGAACTTCACATTTTTATTACTGATCCTTTCTTTCCTCACTGGATTCTTGACGTTATGTAAGTTTATAAACATTTCCTCGTTATTGGTTTGAGAATTGAAATTGTTATAAAGCTGGTATTTCAAATATTCCTAATAGGTTCTGGCATTTAATGCATAAGATAATGCCTGCTGTCATGTCAGAAATGTCTAGGTTCCAGTTCCCAGTTTTAGAAAATACTGTTTGTTTGATATTGGGACATTGATTTGGTGCTCTAAAACAGGCCATAATAATAGTGGTTTAAATTTGACAGAAGGTTCATTTCTCTCTTGGACAATCATGAGCTGGTAGGCAGTTTGGAGAGCAGGGCAGTTAGTTCCCCAAGGTCGTTCAGTGACTCAAGCTCCTCCGATCCAGTTATCCAGCCTGCGAGGTTAACCTCATCCACATGGCTGAGAAGCTGGCTCACCGCCACAGCGCAGTCCAGGCAGTAGCACAGGAAGGAACAAGGGAGGCCAGCGGCTCCTTTTAGGAGTGTGGCCTGAACAAGGCACGCACCCCTTCCATAATTTGGTCATATGGCTCATACCTAGTGGTAAGTTAGACTGGAAAATGTAGTCTGGCTGGGCAGCCGTGTGCCCCTGTAAAACTGTTACTGTTCTGTTACTAAAAGGGGGAAGACAAGAACAGTTTTATTAAAGATCAATTAGTACTTTTTAGTGAGCTCTCTAAGCCTCAGTTTTCCGGTCTGTAGAATGGGGATGAAAATACCCCCTCTTGCGGCTGTTAGAATTAAATGCATGAATGGATCAATGTAACGGAGCATCCTTCCTACTTCAGGCTCTCAGTAAATTATTCTATTTATAGACACAGGGGGAGTGCGGCTTCATGTAACAGAAAGTGCCCAAGTTTTGGATTCCGTGGTAGACCTGGGTCTGAATCGTTGTTGTTAGTTGTGTGACTAAGGACACATGTACCTAACCTCTCTGACCCCTTTAACAAACGAGAATTAAACTTATAGGAGTATTACAAGAATTGAATGAAAAATTTCATACAAATATGTAGTACAGTGTCTGACATGTAGAAGATATATGTAAGTGTTAGCTAATTGCTAAGTAATCTGAGTAATTTTGTAGGTTCCTGTTGGGGAAAGATTACTATGTAAAGTTGATTGTAAGAAGACTGGTGCCAAGCAGTTTAAACTAATCATGCACAGTCATCAAAATGTGTATTTTCAGTTTGAATATTTGGAGCTTAAATGTAAGCCAGTGCTTTCTAAAGAGATCTGTGAGAGGTACAGGCACCAGAATCATCAAAGATGCTCAGTAAAAATGCAGGTTCTTGCTCCTCTCCCTGCACCCCCTGCCAGGCTCCTGACTCAGAATCTTTGGGAATGGATGCAGAATCTCTACCTTTTTACAAACATTTTTTAGGTGATCTTTATTACACTGAAGTTTGAGGTTCCAGTTTTAATCCACAGCACTTATTTGAAGTATTTGAACACTTGTACGGTACTTTGAAAGAAGGAGGGTTAATTCATTTTTTCTAATTTCAGATAAACAAGACTAGAACTCTGAGGTTTCATGAGGTTTTTTGAGACTGGGCCTTGCTTTGTCACCCTGGCCGGAGTGCAGTGGCTGATCCTGGTTCACTGCAGCCTTAGACTGCTGGGCTCCAGCAATCCTACCACCTCAGCCTCCTGAGTAACTGGGACTACAGGTGCACACCACCACACCCACCTAATTTTTGTACAGATGGAGTCTTGCTATGTTGCCTGGGCTGGTCTTAAATCCCTGGGCTCAAGTGATCCTCCCATCTTGGCCTCCCAAAGTGCTGGGGTTACAAGTGTGAGCCACCACACCCAGCAAGGAACTCTGGGTGTTTTAAGATGGACTCAGGGATGAGATATTTTTTTTCCTCCCAAGTGATTGCAACTTATTAAATAATAAATGTTTGCTCTGAATTCTTTTTAGTTGCTGCGAAACCAGAGATTTCCTGCATCCTATCATCATGCAGTGGAAACCGTTGTAAATATGCTGATGCCACACATCACTCAGAAGTTTCGAGATAATCCAGAGGCATCTAAGAACGCAAATCATAGCCTTGCTGTCTTCATCAAGGTGGGGACGTGCAGGGAAGAGGATGTCAGTTATGGGACAAAGATGTGCTTTTTACGAGCTGTCTAACAGAGTGACTAGAATAGAGTAGGTGCTCTGGCAGTGTTGATGGCATGTTTTTTATGTCAGTGGAAAAACTTATTAGCAATAAATGCTGCTTTGAATCCAAATTTCTGAAATGTTTGGACCTGAAATACCTTTTTGCTTGTTTTCCTCCACAGAGATGTTTCACCTTCATGGACAGGGGCTTTGTCTTCAAGCAGATCAACAACTACATTAGCTGCTTTGCTCCTGGAGACCCAAAGGTAATGCGGGGATTGTTACTGGTAACAGAAGTCACCATGTAGCTTTCTCTGGTAGAATTACCTTTTTCCTTTATTTTTTTTAAAAGCTCTGCCTTACTAATTTTTTTATTGTATTGAGCCTGTGTCTGTAATTATAAGCTACCTGAAATCCTTCATTGAAGTAGGAGGAACGTAAACAATAAATGCCCTAAAAACCAGTTGAAGACATTGTTTAATGAAATGTGTCGTTAGTTTTCAAATCAATCCCTGCAGCCATCCTGAAATCTGTACAATGCAATAGAATATGCAATTCTAAGAAGGTCAAGAAGCTAATGACTATTTCTAACATACTATTGCTAATAGGTTTTTTAGAATCCTGTATGAAATATCCAGCTGGGTATTTATAACTAAACACTTCTTCCTGCAGACCCTGTTTGAATACAAGTTTGAATTTCTCCGTGTAGTGTGCAACCATGAACATTATATTCCATTGAACTTACCAATGCCGTTTGGAAAAGGCAGGATTCAAAGATACCAAGGTAATCCATCTTTATATCCATTAACCTTTTCACAAAGAGAGACATTTATTTTCAATAAGAAAAGATAATTGATTCAAACATGATATTTGAATTTTCTGATTTTTTTATTGATTAATTTTTTTCTTAGAAATTTCTATTTCAAAAAATATTGATAAAATATGGGAACTTTTCAGCAAACTTATCAGACTACAGATCATGCCAGTATGGCTATTTCATTGAAAAATCCCTTTACTTAAAGAAAAGAAATCTATTTCAGTTGCTATAGCTTATTTTTGTTTGTTTCACTTTTCCTTTTTTCTTATGAATTAGCTTTTCTTTCACCAACTGTGGAGTCAAATGACACTCCTGTAGGTAGGTGTGGGGTGTGACGCGTGCTTTCTTGCATTTTCCTCCTCTAAAAAATAAAGAATGCAAGTGATGGCTGAACTGCTTCCATATGCTGTTCTGTTAAGCATTTCCTATATAATTTGATCAATTTTTAAGCTGACCATAAATTAGTGATTTTTTCACTGGAGCTAAGACATTGCTGTAACATCCCAGGGAGGCATCTGGTTTTTTGCTCCTGAAGTCACTGTGTACTCTAGGATGTTTCTTTAAGAAGTAAAACAAACATCCCTGCTTCACCCCCAAAATTCATTATTCTATTTTCATAGCCCTTGTCCATAGTGGTGGCAGTAATCAAAATCACAAGCAATGTGGCTTTTTTACATGCTTTTCATGTTTGTATGTTGAGTCTTTATTAATGTCCTGTATTATCTTTAAGTTTGAAGAGAGTTGAGCTCATAGAAATGTCTTTGTCTTCACTGAGTAAATCAAATTGAACAAATTAGTCTGTCAGGTCTGTCAAGCAATATTTATTGAGCTTAGTTCCTTGTATGTGCTCAGGTATTTTGTGCTAAAGGAGAGAAAAAGTGGAAGGATGCCACCAAACTGCTAGTGGCACCTGAATTAACTGCTTCTGAATTCCGAGAGAAACACACTAAGGCATTCGTTCAGAGACAAACAACTTTCCCCCAAATAGACTGGTACTGCCTTTTAAGGATCAGGCGGGGGGACTGTGGTCCTGGAGCTGGCATTCATGCGTTCAACAAATATTTACCCCGCACCAACTGTGTTGAGCTTCAGAATAAGTTATGTACAACCTGGATGATAATCCCCGGCTATTCTACATACACAAAATACATAGAATGTCAGACACTGATGCATCCTAAGGAGAACAAACAAAGCAAGGAAAGGAGATATGAAAAGGGGTGACATTTGAGACAGAGTGGCCAGATAACAGTTGGAAGAAGGTGAGGGGTGAGCCAAGCACCTACATATCTGGGGGAGAGTTTTTCTGGGCTGAGAGAACAGGTAGGTATTCATTGTCCCCTGATCTAACCCTGGCCTCCCACCTCTGTGGTCTCACACCCCCTTATTCTACACATTCTAGGCATCCCTGCCAACTCCCAGCTCCTCAGACACATCATGCCACCCCTCCACCTCAAATAGCTCCCACCTGTGGAATCCTCATTTTCCTCCCCAAGCCAGCCACTGCATACCTCCTGCATGGGGCCTCCCAGGGTCTCCTCACCCTCTTCCAGTTCCCCAACTGGAATTAACCACTCTCTCCTGCCCTGCGCCCCCAACCTCACCATAGCCTCAGCCAGTCTCCTGTACCTGGGGACTCTCCTTCCCTCCACCTGGTACAGAGCCCAGGGAGCTCTTTTTGCCCAGTGACTGTGCAGTGAATGTGTGCTGATGCCCGTCTCACTATGACCCGGCAGGGCAGCACAAGCTCTTACAGACTTCTAGGGTATTTGGTAGCAAGACGGGCTTCGCTCAGTTGTGGGGGAACATGTGTGGGTAATTTGCCTTACTACACTGATAGGAATAAATGTTTTTTAGAATTTTCATTTTCTTTCTCCTCACTTACCTCCCACCCCCACCTTCACCTCCTTTCTTGTGTTAGTCCATTCGTGTTGCTCTAAAGGAATACCTGAGACTGGGTAATTTATAAAGAAAAGAGGGCCAGTGCAGTGGCTCGCACTTATAATCCCAGCACTTTGGGAGGCTGAGCTGGGAGCATCACTTGGCCTAGGATTTCAAGATCATCCTGGGAAACATAATGAAACCCTGTCTCTCCCAAAAAAAAAAAAAAAGAAAACAAAAATTAGCCTGGCATGTTGGCACACACCTGTAGTCTCAGCTACGTGGGAGGCTGAGGTGGGAGGATGACTTAAGCCCAGGAGGCAGAGATTGCAGTGAAATCTGCAATCTAGGCAGATTATGCCATGGCACTCCAGCCTGCACAACAGAGCAAGACCCTCTCTCAAAAAAAATAAGAAAAGATGTTTATTTTGGCTCACAGTTTTGCAGTCTGTACGAGAAGCATGACGCCGACATTGGCTTCTGGTGAGACCTCAGGAAGTTTCCAATCATGGTGGAGGGCGAGCGGGGAGCCAGCAGGTCACATGGTGAGAGAGGGAGCAAGAGAGATGGGGAGTGAGGTGCCACACTCTTGTAAACAACCAGATCTCGCGTGAACTCAGAGCGAGAACTCCCTCGTTATGGCAAGGAGGGCACCAAGCCATTCATGAGGGATTCGCCCCCATGACCCGAACACCTCCCACCAGGCCCCACCTCCAACAATGGGTATCAAATTTCAACATGAGATTCAGAGGGGACACACATCCAGACCGTGTAATTTCTCATGCACATTCATACACACAAGCACAGATGTGTGAGCACACAGTTAAAGCATAAGTAGTTTCTTCTAAGAGATTTATGTGAACTCAAGCTATGACTTATAGTTTAGATAAACTAGGTGAAATAATCATAAACAATGAACATAATTAATCTAGAAAATGACTACTCTCCCCCTTCTACTAAAGGGTTTCGTAGAACTTGTGTCCGTATTTTGGGTAGATTTAGTTAGTAGCTATCTGATACGGGACGAAAGGCAAAGGGAGAGATCTATAGACTTTCCTTTAATAATGGAGTCAGTCTGACAATTCACAACGTAGCTTCAGCTTCCTGAAATGTGTATTTCATCTTCAGAGTGATGTTCAGCTGTTTTTATGTACCCTTCCAGAGTAGAGTTCGTGTTTACTCCTATCTGTTTTCCAGAAGAGCTCTCAATTTTGTCATTTAGCTTGCTGGTGATTTACCAGTTTGGTTTGATGCTTTCTCCATTTTAATTTTAGCTTATATTAAATTTATATTTGTTTTCAGAGATGGAGAAATATTAGGAGAAAATCTTAGGAAATACTGCGTTAAATAAGTTCTTCATTCAGGGATAGCAGAATAAGTAGGTTATGTATTAATTTGTTTATTTTAAATTCATTGGGTTTTAATGGAATATATAGGCATTAATGACCAGGAAAGGAATATATGAACTCATATAGTAAATAACATTTTAATAAGCCATGTATGTTTATTGTTTAATTACATGTTTGTTATGCACAAACTGCTCTTATACAATTCTGTTAGCTAGTGTGACGTTTTAACTTTGTCGCTAACAAAGTTATATTTTTAATGTAACATATGCTGTGCTCTAGTCTAAAAATTGGTACTTAAACTGTTCACTAATTTAATTATGTAGGATGCAATATGTTCCAAAATCCAGTGCACTTAATTGTATTTAAATTTGGTTTTCATTTAAGATTCTCATGTGCTAAGAAGTAGAGCAGACTTGTACCTTTCTCATTTGAAGCCAAGTCTAATCATCTCTTGACATCCAGGGTGGGCTGAATGCAGAGGATGGGTCTTAGTTTTGTTTTGTTTTGTTTTTTATTCAAAGAGCATTGCATCTTTCCTACCTCAAGTAGTTTCTATCCTCATTTCAGACCTCCAGCTTGACTACTCATTAACAGATGAGTTCTGCAGAAACCACTTCTTGGTGGGACTGTTACTGAGGGAGGTGGGGACGGCCCTCCAGGAGTTCCGGGAGGTCCGTCTGATCGCCATCAGTGTGCTCAAGAACCTGCTGATAAAGCATTCTTTTGATGACAGATATGCTTCAAGGGTGAGTGGTCCCCAATGGAAGGAATGTGTATTGATAATGTCCTTTATTTTAAGTGGTGTAAAGAAAGTAATCAATTAGAAAATTCATGGTGACAGCACTAAGACTTTGCTCTGTTTTGGGACTAAAATCAAATATCTGTCTTTATAGGAAAGATCCAAATAAAGGAGATGGTCAGTGACAACTTAGTTCAGTTCTCAGAATCCTGGGTCATACTTACCATGTGTGTCTTTTCAGAGTCATCAGGCAAGGATAGCCACCCTCTACCTGCCTCTGTTTGGTCTGCTGATTGAAAACGTCCAGCGGATCAATGTGAGGGATGTATCACCCTTCCCCGTGAATGCCGGCATGGTACGTAAATGTGGTCACGTCAACTCAGTCTGTACTGGGTCCCAGGACAAAGCGCCATAAGCTGGGTGGCCTAGCGTTTCCCCAGTTTATCCTCTCCCATTCAGGAGGCCAGAAATCCAAAATCAAGGTGTCAGTGGGGTCGGTTCCTACTGGAGGCTCCTGGGGAGGAGTCTGGGCCGTGCTCCTCTCACAGCTGCTGATGCTGCAGGCAATCCTGGGTGCTCTCTGGCTTGTGGTGGCATCGCACCAGTCTCTGCCTCTACCCTCACTTGGTGTCCCTTCTCCATGGTGTTTATCTGTGCCTCTGTGTCCCTCTCCTCTTCTTTCTTTTCCAAGATAGAGTCTTGTTCTGTTGCCCAGACTGGAGTGCCGTGGCACAATCTCGGCTCACTGCAACCTCCACCTCCTGAGTTTAAGCAATTCTCCTGCCTGAGTTTCCCAAGTAGCTGGGACTACAGGCACCCACCACCACATCCAGCTAATTTTTTTGTATTTTTAGTAGAGACAGGGTTTCACCATGTTGGCCAGACTGGTCTTGAACTCCTGACCTCTCAATCCACCCGCCTTGGCCTCCCAAAGTGCCGAGATTACAGGCGTGAGCCACCACACCCGGCCCCGTCTCCTCTTCTTATAAGGACACTAGTGATTGGGTTTAGGATCCACCCAGTATGACCTCATCTTAACTTACATCTTAGATATATAATGGAAAGATCCTATTTCCAAATAAGGGTACATTCTGAAGTCCAGGTAGACATGAATTTGTTGGGGGACACTACTCAACCCAGTACACACCCCCCTTTATTTTGCCAGTGCGACTCTTGCATTTCTGGCTAACATGGGGTCAATCACTAAACCTTCAATTCTTGTTAAAAAATAAGTATAAAAACCATGTTCTCCTGATGAAATTGAGTCAACAGAGATATGACCCCAGAAATTATCTCAAAAGTTTTTGGTTAGAGATGATTTTACTTTTTTTTACTCAGTCTTTGGTACCTTTGATATGATTGTTTTTTAAAAAGGATTCTTGGACTCATCTTGCAATTCAGCTTTTTCAAAGCATTATCACTATCAAATTTCTTGTCACATTTCAGTTGCAAAAGACTTTTTAAATGTTAACCTATAATAGTTTTTAATTAATAAAGTTTATAAGAGTTTTACAATCTAAAACCGGCACTCCTTCTCTTTCTAATTCTGTCTTGGCCTCAGAGGGCTTATCTGCTATGAATTTCAGCACATGTTATTTTAGCATTTCCCCTTTCCCTGGTACTCTGGTCTCATGAACTGGCTTGGTTGTTCATCTTCCCACCTTGTCATTATGGGTGTACACTTGCAGAGTCTCATATATGTTTCTGTCCCTCCCTCCCACCCCAACAGTGATGCAGTGTCCCATTTTTACACTACCTCTTCACCTCCAATTACGTTCCTAAATAACATTACACTGAGATGAACCGTATGTATAGGTTTTGTGCGTGTGTGGCTGCTCTAAAGGACATAAACTCTCTCTATCCTAAGCGCACCTCGCTTATCTCACCCTGTACAACATTGCATTTCACACATGTATTCTCTAACCCTGTCTGTTTTTCAAACCAGAGTAATTCAGAGTATAATGTGACCTCTCTGAACTGTTTCAGTCCTAACAAAAATGAACACTTTCACCAAAGTAAAATCCCGTTTTTTGACCTAACTTCAAAATTAGTATGATTTCTCCACTGAAGTTCACATGATGCTACGAACATCTAGAGACTGTCATTGCTGCTGTCGTAATTCCCCGCATTACAGATAAGAACCAGCATTCCCGTTAGAAGGAGCAGGGGAGGTTTTCTCTGAAGGCAAAAAAAAAAAAGAATAAGGAAATGTTGGGCATCAGAGCTCTGGAAAGGGAAAGGTGTTAGAAATGCTGGGGAGAGAGAAACAAGACTTTATGGAACGTGATTTCTCTCCCCCACCCCCACCCAGCATCCGTATCCCACGCCCCCTGCTCCCACCCTGACCCATCCCACCCTCCTCCCTCGCCCACACCGCAAGGCTGCTGCTCCCATGCAGGCAGGCACGTTGAATGCATCAGGCTGTCTTGGTCCTGCACTTGCCCGGGCACTTCCAAGAACGGGGGAGGAATCCTCTCCAGACATCTTTGATTGTTTCTGCTTTCCTCCCCTTGACAGACTGTGAAGGACGAATCCCTGGCTCTGCCAGCTGTGAATCCGCTGGTGACACCACAGAAGGGCAGCACCCTGGACAACAGCCTGCACAAGGACCTGCTGGGCGCCATCTCCGGCATTGGTAATGCTCCCTGCTCCTGTGGGCTTCTCTCCGCCATCACTCTGAAAGTGTCTCGGAGCTGATGGTTGGTGAATGTGTCACACTTGTGTGGTAGGACCTTGAAGTCTGAGTTTCTGCCCTGAGTATTCTTTCCCTGTTTGTGATAGTCAACAACTGAAACCCCTCAGCCATGCCCTGAAATAAAGGTCCCGGATGCCTGTGACTCCTCAGGATCATACAGTTAATCACAGGCTTGCACTGTTTGCTTTTTGTTCAACATTTGTTGAGTTTTCATTTTAAATCTTAATTGGATTGTGTATACTGTTAAGGAATATTTTTGCAGGTGGTGGGGGGAGGGGAACACTGATTTGTAGTGTTAGTGATTTTGATGAAATATGACATAGTAATTCCTAAAGAACATAGCAGTTTATGGCTAGAATTCAATCCTAAAATCAGTTTTCAAAAATCTGTCCCACAAGACTTTTTCTGTGTGAAATAACAGAAGAGCAGTCCCCTCTGAGAGAAAAACACATGACACAAATCAAAATTCTCGTAGTTTCTCCATAAGAAAATACCGGACATAATGTACTTGTTAATATTCTGACTAATTGAACTTCTGTGCTAGCTTTTTCTCAGAGATAGCAGTTTACGTATATATATACATATCTTCCAAGAATTGTCACAGGTGCTCACAGACTTCTTCAGTCTTTATTTCTCCCTCTCTTTATCACATTGTGAATAAAGAAAGCAGCCTACTATGGCTAGTGGCTAGACTACCCAATAATGGGACTAATTCATGGGATAAAATAAATGGCAGCCTTCATCCGATTAACTCACAGGACTTGCCCGCTCTGAGATTATGTCTTTACCTTTGCCGGTGGTGGGGGTGTTAATATGCTATTTCAGGCAGGGGATGAAACTGAGTAGGATTTAACATGAGAAAACCCACACCAATGCCCAAATTTATCCTACAATAATAATACCAGTCCTTAATCTGGCTGATACTTATGTGTCTTTTTCACAGTTATGCTCTCCTTAGTTGACAATGTAAAGATTAAAAGAGTTAATTCATGCAAAATGCTTGGAACTGAGCCTGGCACACGGTAAACGCTCAGCAAATGTCGGCTGCTGTCACGAGTTTCCCTTTGCCTTTCTTCTGGGCCTTCGCTCTGTCTCTGCCCTGCTCTGCCCCATTCCCAGCCACTGCTCCAGAAGCAGCAGGGGACCTTCCTCAGAGGGTGTGATCTGCAGTGGTTCACAGCACTGGCTTTAAAGCCAGACAGATGCAGCCTTGGATCTGGAATCGACCATTTACTCGTTGCCATGGCAGGATGTTGTCTATCTTTTTTGACCTCCGTACACCGTCTTCAGAACGGTCGTTAGAGGGATTAAGAGCTAGTATGATGTGTATGGTGCTTGACAGAGGAACCAGATGAGTGGAAACATCACTTGACTGTAACCTTGATCATTTCCACAAAGTTTGAATGCTTCTGTTTGACTTTTTTGACTCTTCTCCAATTCAGAATTCACCTTGTTAGGATTGGGGACTTCTTTAGAACTTGGAAATAGGCCATTGGGGATCTTTAGCATCATGGCCTCCAATTGCTCCAGGTTGATGGTGCAGCTATGGAAAGCACTTGAGACTGACTTCATCCTTTTTCACTCTTAAATTTTAAAATCCAAATCCATGTTTCATAGGAATTCACCACGACAGGCTTATTATCCTCAGGCTATCTATATTGCTTCCTTTCTTGAAGACTTAAATCCTGGTTCTCTTTTAGGAATACCTTCCAGGGAAGCCTCATCTTTGAACTGGGTTTACTAGTTTTTTTCTGGCAGCTTTAGCAACTCTGTTCATCAGGGAGTTTCTAGCTAATTTTAGTCCTGGTGCTTCTCCTTCAAGAGCAAACTCTCCTTACATCTCTGTTAGAAGAATCCTGTTTCTACACATACTGAGAATGTGCCATCACAGTTTTTTCAATGTCTTTGGAGCATGATGCCTGAGAGTTTTAAAAGTGATTCACTGCCTGGATAAAAACTACTCTGAGATTACATTCATTTTAAAAGGCAAGCGTTCTGAGGCTCAGGGTTTCTTTTTCCACCTACTCGGTGGTACCACGGGAGGAGGGATGAATTTATCTTCTTTTCATTTTACTCAAGTGTCATTTAAGGACTTTAAAAGCTATGCTCTGGGCCAGGGTATTAAATACAAACACATACACAAAGACATATAAAATAGGAACAAACTAAGCATATTGATTTTGATATATTGCATTTCCATCTGTTTGCCTTAAATTAGGACTCTAGTTCTGGAACCAAGCTGGAAACTCTGAGAACTTAGGATCTAATTTTACTTTACTGAGGACCTTTCTCTTGAGTTCTGTGTTCTTCAAATGCTGTTCTACATTAAATATGAAATATGATTATATGAGAAAAATTATAATTTGGTGATAGCATGCATTTCTTATCTGAGTACAGAAAAAGGCCATAGTTTTTTCACAGGGTTTTTACCTGTCCCTTGCGACGATCATTCACATGGTTTCTCTCCTGGGGAGATGCAGCCACTGGCTGACAATAAGGCTTAATGTTCTACATGTTCAAGCCTCCGCTTCTATTTTCAAATTCCCCTGGTTCTTCTTTTCTTGGTCTTTAACACTGAATCAGTTTCAGGAATAGCAATGAATAAATCTGAGTGTTCAACAGAGGGAAGGATTTATGACCTTGATGTCACAGGTATTCCTTCTAAGTTTAAAGAGTTAAAGATCAGCCGGGAGTGGTGGCTCACACCTGTAATTCCAGCACTTTTGGAGGCCGAGGCGAGCAGATCACCTGAGGTCAGGAATTCGACACCAGCCTGACCAACATGGTGAAACCTCGTCTCTACTAGAAATATGAAAAAATTAGCCAGGCTTGGTGGCGGTCGCCTGTAATCCCAGCTACTTGGGAGGCTGAAGCAGGAAAATTGCTTAAACCCGGGAGGCTGAGGTTACAGTGAGCCAGGATCATACCATTGCACTCTAGCCTGGCCGAAAGAGCGAGACTCTGTCTCAAAAAAACAAACAAACAAACAAAAGAGTTAAAGACCATCTTGACATTGCCTGAGAGATGATGAATTTATGCCATTAGCCATCACATTTAGAAGGGCAACAACCGAGTCACTTTCAAACATACTTTTGGTGTAACCTAGGGGCTGGCTATATTTATTTTGTTGTTAATTTATTTTTTGACTTAGAAATATCCCAGTCCATGGCAGCTCATTTCCCTCCTGAGGTCTGAAAACGACCAGCCTGTTGTGAAGTGCCAAGTAACGGCATCTTCAGCTTGGGTCTGGGAAAATGTGTGCTCACAGCTGCCAGACACAGAGTCCAAATCTCCTGATGCCATCTGCCGAACCAGCCAGGCCTTTCCGCTGCAGGCACGCCTTTTGGTTCAGCACGGAATGTACCAGACCAAAGAGTCATTTTAAATTGTGTGATTTATTTAATAAATCTTATCTAAGCAGGAAGTCAATCTATTACCTTAACGATTCCATGGTACCAAGATGGGGAGTGATTTCTGCCTTCAAATGCTGTTTTTTTCATGGACATCACAAATTTTATTTCTACATTAGATTTCCTTTCTGTTCAGAGTTGTTTATAGCAGATTCCCAAATATTCCCCATTCACAGCACCCTTAGTGTCACTTTTCTTCATGGCATCCCTAGGCCAAAAGACACACCCAACAGTTCTGTTTATTAGGTACGTAGAACCAAATAACTTAATAAGTACTTACATTCTAACAATTTAGTAGGTACTTAAAAGAAATAATATGCATACATTTAAAGAAAAAAGTTTAATTTTATTTTTAATAATCACAACTAACTACAAATGGGTGGTGTGTGCCTGTTGGACACTGACAGCTTCTCAACCTTTGGGTCATATTAGCCAGCACCATTCGCATTTCCTGTCCCTCACTGATTACTTGCCTTTTATTTGTGAAGCCCTCCAAATACCCAGCTTCACAAATATGTCTTCAAAAGGAGCATAGCACAACCTGCTGCTGAAACGGCAGCTTCTGACCAAGGTCACGGATCACTGTGTTCTTGAAAATTTAAAACACCCCATGACACCCCTCAGAGTTTGGTAGGCTCCTCAGCGTTTATTATCAGTTTGAATGCTATGAGTTTGTTGTATGGTTTAATTTTGTGAGTTGATAGTTGTAGGTGGATTTACCTTTTAATTTTTTAAAGTCTTCATTCGATCCCATTCTGAAACAGGTGTGCACTGTTAGTGATCATAGGTGGTTTCTAATAAGTGAATTGATGTTTACATCTGAATGTTTCAGACTAGTTTCTTTTTATCTCATTGTATATGACCTGGTTCTTTAAAGGTGAAGTAATGGAATGCAACTCGTGAGCCAACTTCCTAACAGAAAATATAAGTGCAATAAAAGCAATATCCCTTAAAGTTCAGTACTCATCTTTCTTTTGTTCTGTCTTAATAAAACTTTATTCTTGGCTTGATTTCCATTTAGCTTCTCCATATACGACATCAACTCCAAACATCAACAGTGTGAGAAATGCTGATTCGAGAGGATCTCTCATAAGCACAGATTCGGGTAACAGCCTTCCAGAAAGGAATAGTGAGAAGAGCAATTCCCTGGATAAGGTAATTGCTTTTCACCCAACACAAGGGTTCTTATAATCAATGGATTTAGCCCAAAGTAAACGTACTTCATGTTCTAGTGCCTTTTAAGTGTGACCTTTTGTTTTATCCTAAACCACCAGCTGACCTGGAGTAGGTGATGAGAGCTTTAAGGTCGGGGCCCATTCCTTGAACTGCTCTGATTCCTGTTTCCACAACCTCAGATCCTGGGCAGGGTTTGCAGTGGAGCATCTTGAGTGAATGGCTCTGGTGGGTTGGACACGGAGGGACTCAAAATGCTGCCCAGCTCAATTCCCTGTAGTCTTTTGTTTTTGTTTTTTTTTTTTTTTGAGACGAGTCTCGCTCTGTCGCCCTGGCTGGAGTACAGTGGCACGATCTCAACTCACTGCAACCTCTCCCTCCTGGGTTCAGGCGACTCCTCTGCCTCAGCCTCCCCAGCAGCTGGGACCACAGGCGCACGCCACCACGCCTGGCTAATTTTTGTATTTTTAGTAGAGATGGGGTTTCACCATATTGGCCAGGCTGGTCTCAAACTCCTGACCTCGTGATCCGCCCGCCTCGGCCTCCCAAAGTGCTGGGATTACAGGTGTGAGCCACCGCACCCCACCAATTCCCTGTAGTCTTTATAACGGAGACACTGTCACCAACACAGCTCTCCACCCACAAGGGTGTTAGGTCTGAAGCCAGCTCCAGAGAATAATTGATCATATAGGTAATTCAGGGATAAGAAATCACTTTATTCACACAGCACCCACCCACAACACAGCACTTCCTCCTCATACTTAGCCTTTTTTCTTCAAACTACTAAATGCTCAGACCATTTGGAACTTTGTAGGAAAGGATAAAAGTGTGGGTTTAAACCTGGAGCCATGGTAGATTGGTATCACTTTGGGCACAGATTCTCTAAGTTACTTCAAGTTACAGACAAGCACCCATCCCAATAAACAGCTGAGCCATTTAGGGATTTATCCCTAGTTCTCCAAAAACACCCAGAAACATCCTTCCTCAGCATCAGATTTATAATCTTGTCACGCATCCCATGGCCGGCATTGACATGATTATTGTTAAATGCAGCTCTATTGAAGTACGAGCAGCTCAGTTTGGGTGTGTCATGACATATTGAACTTTTCCCTTGACCCCAACATGCCTTCGTGTGTAGAAGGAGAAGCTGCTCCGAAGGCACTCTGCTTGTGTCATACGCAGTGCTGGAGAGGAGGAGGACAGCTGCCAGTCAGCCAGGAAAAACCGGGTCACTGTGGATTTTTCCCTTCTAACGATTCCACCTTTGCCAGAGGAGACAATGCACGCAACACCCTCTCTCCCACTGCCGGAAGTACTGAGTTCTCCAGTGACTCTGATCAAGTGGGCAGGCCAGAGGGTACATCCATACCAGTTTTGCCACTAATTGCCCCTGTATTTTTCTGTAAATAAAAATATTCACATATTTTATTAATTAAGCCTATTTAATATATGTGTGTGTGTGTGTATATATATTCACACACATAATTTTATTTTCAGTTGGCCACCAGCACCTTGAATAAAACATCTTTTTTTCCACTATTGTTTTTGCTTTGATATTTGGCAAAAAAAATTTTTTTAATTTCAATTGGAAATTAAACTGGGAGAGTTTTTAAATCTCCTGTGTTTGCAATCACATGGTGAGATTCTTGTGCTGCTTTTTTTTCCGTGAGAACCTGCTGCCTAGTGGCAAAATTGCCCTCTCGTTTCCCCCAAGGTTTCTGACGTTTGCAGTGTTGAGCTAAGCTGTTGATGGAGTGACCTCATCAGTTTAGGACCTTTGGTGATGCTGTGCTGACATGTCGCTGTTTGTCCCAGGCAGGCACCTGCCTATTGTGTTCCCTGAGCAGTGCCCACAGCACGCCCCATGATGCACCCTGGATGACGGCGCCCGGGCTGCAAGCTTTGGGGTGCTTTGCTCACAGCAGCACCACAGGCACTTGCTGTTTCAGCCACCGCCGTTGTCGTCAGGAGGTGGTTGGTTGTGCAGTGTCTTCCAAGTCGTAATTTCTGTTCTTGATCCTAGCACACATACTTTCTTGCATGAGGTTTCAATATACTTGGCATCTCAGAAGGTTTTACTCGGCATAGCTAAAGCTGTGTTTATCCAGTGTGAAAGGTCTGTGCCTTCTGCTTGTCCCTTAGGAGGGCGTGCTGAGGAGACAAGCTAGGGCTTCCGTGGGCAGCATCTGAGTGTGTTATATTTGGGTGAAAGGGTGCCTGTGGTTTAATTGTCAGGAAGTTACTTGCACCTTCCAATGTATATGATCTGACTTGATTCTAAGAATCTTTCTCTTCCACAGGAGAAAAGGGAAACACATTTTCCTCCCGAAATTAAATAGAAAAATCACCTGTATTTTCTTTTTAGCACCAACAAGGTAGCACATTGGGAAATTCAGTGGTTCGCTGTGATAAACTTGACCAGTCTGAGATTAAGAGCCTGCTGATGTGTTTCCTCTACATCTTAAAGAGCATGTCTGATGGTAGGTTAAAAAATGGAGATTTCTGTTTTGCCTGTTTCAGTACTTGGTTTGTTTGTTTTTAACTTGTAATAAGTTGAAAGGATACAAAGATTTCAAAGGATTTTCTTCCTTGTTAAAAATGCTTATTCATTGACTAAATGTAATAGAAATAAGAACCTTATTGTGGGAAAATCATTTCCTTAATAATTTTATTCTAGAAAATGAGTTCTAAAATGTGAATGGGCCTATTTCTTAGATGTATATTAAACTGGGACCTACCATGTTGACTGAAGGAGATAAAAGCACATACATAAAATAGCTTCTGACTTTAAAAAAAAATTTTATTCGTCCAAAGAAACTTACTGTCAGCTTGAATAACTGTGTTAGTCTCTGGAATTAGAATATATGTTGTGGGCGGACCTAAGCATTCCTTCCATTCAGAGTGTGTATATTCCTGGCTGAAAGTGGGAGAGACGTTAGTTTAGTTTTCTAATGGAAATGGTGGTATCATAGTAGATTATGTTTCTGTTTGAGGGTTGGACAACCACATTTTAAACTAAGAATGAGCAGAACTATGCTCTCTCTGGACTGCATAAGGCTCGCGAATGTGTATGACAGGACAGTTTCAACTCTGTTAGCTCGTCTGTGTATCTGGCTGTGTAATAAAAACAATCCTGGTAAACAATGTCACAGTTCTCATCCTGGGCAAAAATCTTATTTTTCCTACAACGAATTAAAAGGTGTGCTGTGAACTTCGTTAAGGTGATTGAATTCGGATGAACTCTCCTGAAAACAAAGTGCCATTTTTTGAGAACCTGAAGGCTTCTTGTGCTGCTTTTATCTGGGGGCAGGAGGTGTGTACTAACTAGCCAGTGGAAGGAATTTCTGCTTGAAAATAGTATTTCTTTTATATGAAGCTTCCATTTCAGCAGCATTAACAGCCTGACTTTTTTTTTCCCCAACCCCAGCCAAGGTACAATCTGACTTTTTAGCTCAGATGGTAGGAAAAACCTGCTTGTCCTTAAAAGAAAGACTGGGTAATTCGTTCTTCTCTTGATTCGTTACTTTAAAATGCTATTTTTTTAAAAAAGAACAGATGAGCGAGACTTTCCCTGAATGATGACCAAATACGCTAGCACAGGGCACTTAGTCTGATATTTGGGTTTACAAAGTTGAAAGTCTTCCCATTTAAGTCAAAAGTTCTAAACTTTGCTTCATGGTAATAATGAGGTTTAGCAAGCATTATAGTTCTGTTTTTCCTTTGTTTAAAGTTTTCTTTAAATTATTTTAAATTTCAAGTATTGAATATGACCTATAATAGGAACATAATTGCTTTTTAAAGACAAATATACAAGAACATTTGAATTCAAGTAAAAGTTATTCTTTTTTTTTTTTTTTTTTTTTTACAGAGTCTCGCTCTGTCGCCCAGGCTAGAGTGCAGTGGCCTGATTGCAGCTCACTGCAAGCTCCGCCTCCCGGGTTTACGCCATTCTCCTGCCTCAGCCTCCCGAGTAGCTGGGACTACAGGCACCTGCCACCTCGCCTGGCTAATTTTTTGTATTTTTTAGTAGAGACGGGGTTTCACTGTGTTAGCCAGGATGGTCTCAATCTCCTGACCTCGTGATCCGCCCGTCTCGGCCTCCCAAAGTGCTGGGATTACAGGCTTGAGCCACCGCGCCCGGCCGTAAAAGTTATTCTTTAAAGTCATACACATACTTTAAAAATGCAACCACTTCTTCGGAATATATTTTTCTCTCAATTTTCTTCAAGTTATTGATTGTCTTCCCTTTATAATTAGAATTTGTGTGTGTGTGCATCCCATTTAAGCATCTTCTCTGACCTCCAGGGTCATGAAGGTATTCTCATATTTTCTTTGAAAGCAGTGTTATTTAAATTTTCACACTGAACTCTAAAAATCTATCTACAATTGGCTTTTGTGTATCATATGAGGTAGGGGGAGAAATTGCCTCCAGAGATAGTTAACACACTGACAACCAAAATCAGTTGTGTAACTGTGTAGCTACTCTTTCATTTATTCCACATTTAATGAGCACCTTCTACATGCTGGGCCCTTCCTCACTGTCCTTCTTGTGCCATTTCCCTCTTCACAGAGCTTATCTCTGTCTTCCCACTCTCCCCAACCATACCTGGAGCCCAGAGCAAGGAATGGCAGCGTCATTGCCCATGCTGCTGGCCACTTTGTCTGGTGTGTGCTGAGGGTGGCCGCAGGGGTCTGCAGGGTGATCCCACCAGGCTCTCCAGCATGCACTGAGCTCCCTGGGGGCTCACCCTACCCTGATGGCCAGCCTCAAGTAGCCAGAGTCTGTTCCTCTGGAATCTCAACTCAAAACCCCTAAAGATGGACGCCCATGACCCACTCTTATTACTGGTCTAATAGGCCAAGCGACCTTTAGAATCAGATGCACGCGATTTAAATTCCCACTCAGCCATGATTCTTCAGACTGGTAAATGGGAGAATTACTTTACTTCTCTGAGCCTCTGTTAGCTCATCTAAATGAGAACTTTCTTCTGCCCCAGATTATGGTGAGGATTAGATGGCACAATCTATGTGAAATTGTGAGAGAACCTAGTACAGTGTCTGGCACACAACAGATTCTCAGTCTATATCCCATGTCATTCCTGCCTGTCATTGTTCTTGACAAGTGTGGAGTGAAAGCCTGTGGCCATGCATCTTCATGAGCCATCAGCATCCCCGCAGCCACCCTCTCTGCTCATCTCAGGCCCCAAAGACTCTGGCTTTTTCCCTAAGAGAAAATTCTTTACCTATTTCTCAACCTCAGTGTGAAATATAAGAATGCAAAAAAGGTTAGCTATTAGATGATAGAACTCAAACGACAGTAATACTAAACTGTTAAGGGTTCACACAGAGGTTTAAATGCACATGCCATTCGGTACAGCTATTTTGCTTCAGAGAATTTATCCTGTAGGTATAGTTAGACATGCATGCAAAGACCCACATAAAAGGATATTCATTGAACCATAATTGTAATAGCAAAAAGTTAGGGGGCAGAAACAGTAACTGTCTATCAGTAGGAGACTAGTTAAGTCAATTATGGTCTATCCACATAGAGGAATATTATGCAACTTAGAAAAACTTGAGATAGATCCAAGCTATATTGTTCAGTTAAAACTCAAAGAGCAAACTTATGTGTGTAATATGCAAAGATTTTCAACAAATTCCCTGTTGAGGAGAGATCCTCTAGTAGGAGACAAGAGAGCCCAGCTTTAGGTTGATATACACTTGTATTCTTAGAATTTTCTAGTCTATTTAAGAGCATGTTACATATAAGTTAAGTGAGCATTATGCTAGAATGTAGCACGAGATGACATGATAGAATTACAGTTCAAATGTTCAAATACAGCATGTTGAAGGTGAATAGGCCTCAGGTGTGTGATATCCAGTGTAGAGTGGTCAGCTATAAAAGAGGGCAGGGAAAGGGTTTAGAGGCCTACACTCCAAGGTTCCTTCCCATTTTCACGACAGGTGATTCTCCATAATGTATATGATATATATTGTGATTCTAAGTAAATGTTTATTTTCTAGATGCTTTGTTTACATATTGGAACAAGGCTTCAACATCTGAACTTATGGATTTTTTTACAATATCTGAGTAAGTAGCTTTCTCTTTGATCATTGCCTCTTGATTTTTTCCTGGATCATTAAGAGGCTTGACGAATACTATGTGGTTGAACCAGGGGAGTCGTGTATGTCACATCCTCACTTACTTCTTAAGCCCTTTCTCATGGACTTGGCCCTAAAACATATTTTCAGGGCTTGTGACCCAGTGATCAGTGGTCACCCTTAACGTGTTACAGATATGTGCTTGTTTTACATGAGAGGTAACTGCTTATGTGTATAAGTCATCTTAATAAAATAACACGAAATTTATTAGCTGAATTGGGTAGATACTGCTTTTCTAAGTTGAGCCTAACTTAAGCTGATGCGGAAACTGAATCAGAAAAGTTGCTATAATTTTAAAATATAAGAAGTAAAAGTGAAATATTATGTAGCATCTTTATCTCATTTTGGCTCATCAATATAAGATTCTGATTTCCTTTAAGCTCTTCACTTTTAGCAACGTGAATCTACAATCCCTTGTCCAAAACTGCTGGGGCCAGATAAATTTCCAAATTCAGAACTTTTTGGGTTTCTGAAAAATTCACATATAGACTACATCCCATAACATCTCAACAGCATCTCTGTATAGTAAAAATAAAAAATTTCTGCAGTACTATTATTGTTCATAATAATTGGATAAATCATAACTATAAGTAGCTTTATGTCTATTATTTTGGGTCACATTTTGGTGCCAAATGTATTTGCAGGAACTCAGGAGGAAAGTGGTTTTCAGAGTTTCATGCATTTTGGAACTACAGATGAGAGACTGTGGGCCTGGCCCTCAGTGGACACTCGGCTCATCGTCTCCTGACCTCTGCTGAGTAAAAGGCAGGAGTTATGTGGTGAAATGAGGTTCAACACCAGAGGAGCTCACTGGACATTGTTTTAACTACCTCATTAAATACATGATTTAAAAAAACAAAACAAAACAATGTTGTTAGATATATATTTTTAAAAACTACACACTTGGTGTATATAATCCATATATTCGAGCCAAAGAGAGAGCTGCTTATATAGATGTAAATGAGGATGAATAAGTAACTTGGAACAGGGTGCGTGGTCTTCAACATGATTTCCCGGGCACGTTGCTGTGGAGTGAATTATCACCCCTGAGTCGATGGAGGATCCTGTCGGTCCTGGGCTTCTGCACTGTGTTGCTTTAGCCAGCCACCACGGCACTGATAGCTACACAAGATGGGGCCTCCCTCACAGGTTCATACATTTCTCTGGGCTTGAAGGGACTTTCCAGAGGACTCCCAAAAACTATTCTGAATGAATGAGGATGTGATATATGCTGGTGCTAGACATAATGCTTACTGAATTTGTTATTGTTAATGGATAAATAACGTCCTGAAAATAATTTTATCTTCACGTTTCCCTAATAATTTTTCATCTTGCCTGCAGAGTCTGCCTGCACCAGTTCCAGTACATGGGGAAGCGATACATAGCCAGGTACTGTGGGGCGTTTTCATCCGAAACATGTTGTTTTCTGTGTTGCCTGGCTCTGATTGTGTGGGAATGGTCATCAGTGGCGGCTGGCAGTTGGGATTCATGGAAGCGGCCATGGGGACCGATGGCAGGCCCTTGGATTGCCACTGCAGAGCCCAGCAGTGTCTTTCGTCTGCATTCTTACAGGCGAAGTCTCATTTCATCTTACGTGTTACCTCTCGGAAAGTGTTCCTTTAGCAGGCTGTGGCGACCCTTCCATCCTGTCATCCAAACTCCCCTTCCTTCTCTGTTCTGTCTCCTTCCCCTCCTCTTCTCCCCAGTTCTTCTTCCTGTGTTCCTTCCTCAGTGATTTCTTTTCCTCTGTTTGACTTTCCAAGGTCATTTTGACTGTTCCTGTTCCCAGCTACAAAGATACTAAAATCTCACTAACCACTCTTCTTCTTTCTTAATGAAAGAATGTTTTCAGTCCATCTCAAATTTGTGTGGACTTCCACAAACCTCTAAAATGGAGCCTTTTGTCTTCCTACTCTTGACTAGTTGATAAGCGCTCCACGTTCTTGGCCAGAACTCCCTGGTGAGTCGCGTCACTCCCACTTTCCTGTCCAGAACCAGCCTCGTAGAAACTCCTTGCAGCTGTGTGGCTGGACACGCCTTCTTTGGGGGCGTTTCTTCACAGCACCTCTTGTCCTTACCAAGTTCTTCCTCCTGCCCCATTGCCATTAGGAATGTCTGTGTGTGTTTGTTTTCTGTGTTGTGAGCCATTCTGTTAGTATATTAGTGGGGTCTTGGTCTAAGTATTATATTTTTTTTACTGTTGTTTTTAACAGCTTTATTATAAGTAAATATGTTTTAAGAAAAACTTAAAAATGTAGTTGTCATTGAGGTTTGTTTCTCTATATATCGACAATTTTGTCTTACAGCGATGAAATAGGCCAGAGATTTTTAATAGACTTGCTCTTTGTGAAGATTTTCTTTTTCTGTTAACATTGTTCTTTTCTGGGGATATTTGAGAAATTTTCAGAATTACATTTTATGTTAAGAAGTAAACATGTATGTTTTCTTTTTAAAAGAAGCAAATTTAGAATTTTTGCATTTTCCTCCTGTTAGTATTTTCTGTTTTTCATTGAAATGTGGTAGCACTTAAAGTTCTCTAATCTTAACTGCATTATTTTTTATCACAACAGTAATTTTATATTTGAGTTTTGGAGCACTAAATGCAAGTATATACAAGGTGTCCTTATACCAGCAACATCTTCTACCTTGACTTGGATTCTCCCTGACTTTGTCCCATGAAGATGGGCAAACAGTAAATTCTGTCACAGAAAGGCACTGTGCTGGGCTAGCTTCAGTTTTTGCAGTGACACCTACATCGCAAGATGGCATTTGGAGAATATTGTGCCAAGTAGAATAAAATGCCTCACAGCTTAAAACGGTGAATGTGAGAAGCTGCAGATTTCTGTCCCAACAAAATGTTTTAGAATCGAGTTTTGTGAAATGGTTAACTTAGTTTTTTTCAGTGGATATAAATTTAACTTCTTTAAAGAAAATCTTCCTACTTCATAAGCACCCTGTATATATTTGCATATAAAAGTGTGGACTGCCTTAAAAATAGATGGGCCGAGGAAAACGGGAGTGGAGATGGTGTGACTTTGCTCCGTGCACTGTGGAAAGATATGCTCTGCTCTATACGAAAATTGCCATGGGTCTCTGCTGCATGTGAAACAGATCCTGAACTAGACTGTGAACCTTGTATATGTTTGCCATCCACGGTGGTCCAGTTTGATGAACACTGTGCCTTCTTATGGTCACTTTGAAGTCACCCAGCAGCATGCAGTCAATGATAGTCCATGCATGTCCCTGTTCTCCTACACACAATAACACAGTGAGGGGGACGGTTGGCTCTGGGACAGGGGACAGGTGTCATTGAGCCCTGGTCTCATTTTCATCTGCTCTGGTGATGGTACACAGCAGGAAGTTAGCTGTTTGATTGCTAACCCAAATCACTCTTCTGTTTTCTCTACTTGACTGCTGACAAGTTTAACAAAGTGTGTGGCTCTTCTCCTTCCTGCTTGGGTAAGAATAAAGGTGTTAAAACTCATATAATCCCTTCCATTGCATGTTTGTTCTCTGTGTCTTCCAATGCATTTTTTAATTAAAAAAATATATATACATGTCTTTTGCTCTTTCAGAACATATATAATCCAAAAAGATGAGTGACATTTTGACAGTTGTCAGAACACTAACCATTAGTACTGCATTGGAGTGATGCTTACTTTTTTCAGAGTAGCATCTCTAAAGTACTTTCTAAAAATAAGAAGGTCCCTGCTTTGGCCTGATTTTTGCTCCTGGGTCATCAGGTGCTTTGCCGTGAAGTGTGTGGGAGCTGCCGCCTGCCTGTGTCTCTGGCTGCTCCACCGCGCTCGGTCAGTGCATGGCCATCTCCCTCGTGCCATGTCCTGGCTTCACTAACGCTCCCCGTCTCGCTGCGGTGTAACACGTCTAACTTTTGCTTCTATCCCATTTCACTCATGTTGCAGGAACCAGGAGGGGTTGGGACCCATAGTTCATGATCGAAAGTCTCAGACATTGCCTGTTTCCCGTAACAGAACAGGAATGATGCATGCCAGATTGCAGCAGCTGGGCAGCCTGGATAACTCTCTCACTTTTAACCACAGTAAGTCCCATGACATGCCATCGTAACAGCCAGCCATCTCATGTGCCATCTCAGAGGGGGAGAGCCCCAGGCCACACCTATCACATCACCAACTCGATTTTTCTTCCAGCTCAAAGCAAGTAGGATGAAGAGCTCATGGCACAGTTCCCTTCCTTGGAGGAGCGTCCTCAGCATTTGGGAGTGACACAATGTGGAACACGCTCAACTACAGCACGAAACCTAAAAGTGCCTGACCCTTTCCCCATCCCCAAAACAAAACTTAACTCGGTCCATAGCCAGCCGTTCTCCAGTATTCTAAACATAAAGTTTGGATTCATCACCTGGAGCCAACTTAACGTTGGCTTTCCCCTGCGACTCTGAGAACATTCGGGATGGATTTCTTTCACCCCTCCTGATCCCGTGCATGTAATTGATCAAGCGTCCACATTCTGACATTCCAGCTCTAAATGGATGTTAATCCTTGCACTGCTGTGAAAACGTAAAGCCCTTAAATCAATTTGTGAGGGTGTGGAAAAGCGTCCAATAACAAAGTGACTTTTTCTGTGTTTTCAGTGTGAGAAAGATATCAAGTGTGCTTGGAATTTCTGTAGACAATGGTAAGATTTAATCAGGTTGAAGTCTGCTTATGAGGCCGCTTCACTTGCAAGCCGAGACCTTTTTGTTCATCTTGCCTTCCTAACTTTGGGGCTTTCTAACTTCACAGTAGAGATTCTGCCAAAACAGGGGAGCATATTTTTAATTTACTTTTATCAATCAGCAGAGGGGACAAGGCATCGTGTGCTGTTTCTAGTAATTTAAGTGTTTTATCTTCTTAAGGGTTTCTCAGAGCGGAACACCTGAAAGATATCAACCATACAGCACTTGAAAAACTAATGAAATCATTTATAATAAATCTCATTTCTGCTAGCATTGTGTTCTCTAAATTGTTCCATCTCTTCTCCAAGCATGACACAGCTAGTTACTGTTTTATCTCAACAATTATTTGTTATTCCAAGTGCTGTCTTTAATACATGGTTATTAATATCCTTCCATCATGTCTAATAATAAATTCCATTCACTGTGATTTTTCACACCTTTTTTTAAAATACAGGCCAAGAGTAAAGGCAGTGTTCCCAATGCATTGTATTAATAATAGTTCAAAGTAAGACACCTGAGGGATCAAAACAAAGCAGCTTCCCACACCTCTGCCCCAGCAATGTAGCCTTTATAAAGATTGTCCAGGTGCGGTTAAGTGTTAGGAAGATTGGCCGGGCGTGGTGGCTCACGCCTGTAATCCCAACACTGGGAGGCCAAGGCGGGTGGATCACTTGAGACCAGGAGTTCAAGACCAGCCTGGCCAACATGGTGAAACCCCATCTCTACTAAAAATACAAAAACTAGTCAGGCTTATTGACACACACATGTAATCCCAGCTACTGGGGAGGCTGAGACATGAGAATGGCTTGAACCTGGGGGGCTGAGGTTGTGGTGAGCCAAGACTGTGCCACTACACTGCAGCCTGGGTGACAGAACAAGACCCTATCTTGAAAAAAAAAAAAAAAATCAAAAATGTTATGAAGTTAGTCTCTATTGATAAAATCCCAGGCTTAATTTAGATAATGTCAGTCTGCCACACGCTGAGTTGGTAGCCATAAAATGCTAGTTCTGAGTTCTACACTTAGCTGTAGAATGCAAATTGAGTGACACCTGTAAGGCTACAGTACTTGATTTTTTAACATCTTTTCTGTTGGGGCTTTGACTAGCTCTGCAGAAAAGGAGTTGAAACAAAACCAAGAGTGTTGTTATTTTTAGTTTTTCTTTGCCATTTAGTAGCAGAAATTCAATCCCCACTGATAAACAGGATCTGCTGGACCTCCTTTGCTCAGATAGTTTCTATAACACAGAGGCTAACTCACTATTGGTTGAAATAAATGCTTAAACTTTGAAGCACTTTTAAAAAAATCATAAGTACACCAGTGCTCCACCTCCAAAGATAGTCATTTAGGAAACACAGGAAACAAAAATTAAATGAATCGTCCACATGTGAATAAATAACCTTAATCCATGCGAATATGTAGCAGCTCTTCCCACTGCAAATGGGTTTTGTGGTGGTAACTTGAATTGGAGGAGAGAGACAGCTGGCCTGGTGCTGCTGCTGCTGCCAAAAGCCATCTTGTTAACATGGTTTATTTCCATTCTGTCTTCCTGCTACCCACAGAGCCCTGTCCTCCTGCCTCCCTCCTCTTTCATCAGTTTTCAGTGGCACACTGTCCTCAGTCACATTTCTCCTGCTTTGCCAGTAAATAACGTGTAGCTGATTCTTCTAGTCCTCGCCTGTGTTCCTACAATTCCTGTTCATCCCGAATTCGTTCTGTTATCTCCTAAGTTGTTGCATCTCCTAGAACTCAGCCTTCTTTTATATCTCCAGTTCTCATTATGTGTTTGAATTGCTTCAGCTTTTCCCTCCACTAGCTCTTTGAGCTCCAAATAGTCAATTCAGACCAAAAAACACAGAGAAGGGAGTGCATACTGTATGTACATGAACATGTATGTGTGTATGTGTTATATATATGTACATGTTTGTTTACATCTCTACCTGGGTATTTTTTGGGAAATTTATGACCATATATGTCTTTTAAAAAAAAGTTCCATTTAACAACAAATACAATACCTTCTGTTGGGCCAACCAATATGACATAGATCCAATATGTGAGAAAGTTGCCAGGGATCCCCAGGAATCCAAAATGAATTTATTTCGGAAGAGAATAAAAATAGGAAGAGTCCCTGTACATCTGCATTATTCATTTCCTCTCTTTCTGTAGAGTAGGAAAGGCTGTGTCAGAACTCAGCTTGACCAGCAGGGAGCAGCAGAGGCCCATGGGAAATGGAATCCTTTGTAGGTCTGTCCCCATCACCACTGGTAACAGGCCATGGAAGAAGGCACCACAGGCACTTCCCATGGAACTCCAGCAAGAACCTGTCTTTACTCCTTAGTTTTGATAGGAAATAGGATAGCAAATCCCCATGCCCAAATCCCATGATGGCCAAGTAGTCTTAGCTATTTGAAAAACACCCTTAAAAGACAGGTTTGTTGTTTGGACCATCACTCAGGTGTATAGAAAATAAACTTTAGAACACTTAGGCATTGACAAATTTAGTGTAATTTGTGCTCATTGTGTATCAGTGGAAGAGATTTGTGTCAAATGAAAAATTGAGAGTGATAGCACAAAACCACAAAGAGAAGGGAGGGTATACTGTAGGTACATGAACATGTATATGTGTATATATGTGCATGTCTATAAACCACATTATGAGGTGAAAACTTAGTGAAATGTGTTTACAAATAAGTGGTACATTTGCAATATGTATATAAAATAACACTATGTTTACTTTGATGTCACGTGTTCTAAGAATACATCAAGTTCATTTGCATAATTCATATTTCCCACTGGTGTAATGCAGGGAACACCAGCCAAGAGGTAGCAGCATGTAAAGAAAATCTGGATTTCTTATAATTTGATCTAAAAGGCAATTAAAGATTACTGGGTCAGGTTGCAGATAATATTTCAGATCAGAATCAGAAAGTATTTTCTAACTGAACTGGCCTTGAGTGGCATGTGCTGAGCTGCCTGTGAAGTTCATGTGGACACCTGCAGCTGGAGGTGTGCAAGCAGACTGGAGGAGGCCCAGCTGGGGTATTGTCCAGGTCACTTAAGCATGCCATGAGGACTTGGATGGCGTGGCTTGTCGGGCTCCATTTAACTCTGAAATGTCTTTTTTGTCTATGAAGCACAAGCAAGAAAATGAATGTAGGCGATCATTAAATTCCTTTACTGTACATCATATTGAATTAATATGAAAAATACAGAGAATGTAGACATCTCTGAGTTAAAATATTTTCCAAAAGTTTTAAAGCATGGATAATATATCTTTAAAATTGGGTAAAATGTGCTTAGATGCTTTAAAAATATACTCAAAATAGTAAATAAATGTTTGTGGCCTGGCACGGTGGCTCATGCCTGTAATCTCAGCACTTTGGGAGGCCGAGACAGGCAGATCACTTGAAGTCAGGAGTGTGAAACCAGCCTGGACAACATGGTGAAATCCCGTCTGTACTAAAATAATAATAATAACAATAATAATAATACAAAAACATCTGGGTGTGGTGGTGGTACACGCCTGTAATCCCAGCTACTCAGGAGGCTGAGGCGGGAGAATCGCCTGAACCCAGGAGGTGGAGGTTGCAGTGAGCCAAGATCACACCACTGCACTCCAGCCTAGGTGACAAAGCGAGACTTCATCTCAAAAAAAAAAAAAATTTGTTTTAAACAAAACACTTATTTCCTTGATTCTGAGATGTGTTTCCTTGATTCTGAGGCACATTTTTGCACATTTTCTAGTATTTCTGAAGTTAGGTAGATCTTACACATTACATTGGATATGGTAGTCTGTCATTGATTGGTGTTTCTTGCAGTTGATGGAGTCTCAGAGTTGAGCAGGTCTGATACAGTGTACGTTTAAAGTCAGTCATTTGTAATATCTTTACAGAGGACTTTAGGATGTGTGGTGTGTTTAAACCAAGTATTTTCACTTGGGGCCTTTACTTCCTATGAGGTCCCATTTTCGGATGCAACTCAACATTAGGTTTAAGAAAGCCACAGGGAAGAGAAAGCTGATGGTATGACACCCACCTCCTGAAGTATAAACTCTTAGATTAGAGCTTGTGTCTCCACAAGGCATTCTGAGCTTATTTGTTTTCTTTGTGGATCAAAGGGCAGATATCAAATGATATAAATTTTGCCTTGGGGTATTACTATTTATTCTCTACTCTTTGCCAGTCTGTGAGGAAAACCTTTTTAGCAATAAAAATTGGATGGAAATGAATAATAGATTGTGTAGATGTTGACCAGTTTGATATTTTGCAAAAATGTTTGAACTCAATAAAACCATACACCATAAGTTAATATATATCTAGGAGACTAGATCTTCTACATTTGAGAGTTCTTTCAGCAAGAAAATTCCTTGTTATTTGGTATTTATATTTTCTCATAAAACTTACTATGTTTCTGGATTCACGTTATAGGCTAGAGGGGGAAAAAGTCAAAATACAAACAAGAATTTTGGTTGCATAAAGAGTGAAGGCGGCTATCAAATGGAAGCGCCCCCTGTAGGAATGTCTCTGACCTGCTCTTCTATCCCAAACGTCCTCTGGTATTCAGGAAAGGCATGTGGCCTGGTGCTTCTGTCCTGCCCACCACATTACCTCTGATGTCATGGTGGTGGGAAGGGAGGGAGTTCACCAATGTGTCAGCATTCTTCATTTGAACCATGCAGGTAATGTGAGTTCGTAAAACAGGGTTAGGTTAATTCAGTGTAGACACATTTCATCCATGGTCCCTGAGTATTTGAAAGATTTGGGGACTTTAGAATAAGTCTCGTCAGAATGACAACAGAATGAAAATTGTATAAATTTGAGCAGCGAATCTGAAGGACTGTAAAGCAGCCGGGGCATGTGTGTCAGAGATAGCGCATCCGTGCAGAAATCCCGCAGCTCTGTCCCTGAAGAGCCAGGCCGGAGGAAATCAGCGCAGTGCCCCGGGCACCACGGCCTCCTAGTGGAAATCAGTGTGCTTCACACCGTACTCCTTACTTGCCCGGGTCAAAAGCTGCTTAATCAGCTTTCAAAACGTTGCCAACCCTTAGTTTAAGAAATTTCTGTGCCCCTTCTTGGATTTACTAGCTCAGCTTCATTTTTCTGTGTTGGTCTATACCACGGTGATTGTTGATTCGAGGCTTCCTCCTGCGCAGCTCTGTTCCAGGCCTTGAGACAGTCTCAGTCTCTGTGACCGCTTCAGCCTCTCTATGCTGCCAATTATTTTTAGGGATTTAAAAAAATAGCACTAGCTCAGGAATCCTGCTGATTTCTTAGATGAAACAGTTGAAGGAAAAGGAAAGCATAACAAAATGTGGCTAAAAGGGCCATTTCTTTTAGATTCCTGTGTGACTCAGGCAAGCATACCAATTTCTGCATGAATCTGACTCTAAAGGAGAGTAGACGGTGTAATAACACTTCCCAGTACCATGTTTCCGTATGTGTATACATAATTATATAATAACTTAATTAGCATAGTCTATTGATGATATGTTCTAAGACAGCACATGGCCAAATTCTAATTTTTAATTGTTTCAGGCTTTCAGCCAGGAGTAGTTAAATTCTATGGGAGTTCTTCAGGCTATCTCATTGGTAACGATCACCTAGATGCATTTCACCTGTTGGTGATCTAGACCGAGAAAAGGACAGTTCTTTGCAGAGAAAGAAATTAAAATAAAGCCAGTTCCTTGTTAAAATTGAACCCAGACGAAAACTCATTCAGGGCAAATGGTAGCCCTCAGGAAAGGATCCCTTGGACCTGTGTGATCATTTTGGTTGGTCTGATAACAGGTGCTGTATTTTTTGTGTGTGCTCTCTTACCACAGTCTGTGATCACTTTAGCAGTCATCATCGACCTGTTTTCCTCTCTCATTGTCTCTGTATCTTACCAAACAAACCTCTCTGAATAAAGTCATGCCTTGGCTTACCATCATGGCAGTTCAAGTGATATTAGTACCCCAACATACCCACCTCTCTTTTCTCTGGGAGATTTCGTACCCCAAAAGCAAAACATGAAATAGAACTAACACGGTGCCAGACGTATGACAGATCCTCACTGAATCTGGAGAGGCGCTGGCCGTGCTGTGGAGTGGAAGTGATGCGATCCGCAAACAGGATCTCAGCACCACCTTGGTCAAAGCAAAGCAGCATTGGATCAAAGCACACAACAGCATTTCTATCATATTTTAAAAAGCACTTCTGTAGCTTTTAAAGCTCTTCTGTAGCCTTTTAAAAACCCCTCTATACGTCTGACATTTAAGTCAGAATGATGTCATGCTAGTTACTTGATTTTCTCCCAATAATATGTACTATGATACAGTGACCTGGATGAGGAATTTGGAGTGTAGATTCTGGGTTTTTTTGTTGTTTTTTTTTCCCCCCCATTACTGGTCTCAAGAACATTCCCTAGGTTTTCTGTACTTTATTTTCTTGATCTGTGTACAAAATGTCCTCCTCTCTGGAGTATTAGGAAAATGACTTAAGTAATAAGCGTTGCTTTATTTTTGCTCCTTGGAGAAAGACATTACATGGTGTTTTATTATATTGCCATCTTTCTTTGTAATCTAGATCAATACTGTAACATCTTTGCATCCCTGTATGTATTTCTGCTAATGCATACCATTTCATAATTTAATATCTCAACTTGTATGTCAAGTTGCATTTATATCAGTACTAAATTGATTTTCCCACGTATAGAAGATTTCTGTTTGTATTTAAATTATGTGTGACTAAGCTAAATTTAAATGACAGATTCTTCAAGTCCTTTTCTTTTTCTAAGCATTTCTTTCAGACATGTTGGCTTTTATGCTTTTTCTTAAAGCGAGTAGAATACTATGCACAGCACAGTCAACTCTTGATTATCATTCACGAGCCTTGCTGATAACAGATCCTGATGTTATTGACTTAACACCTCCATAGCACTCACTGTGTGCCAGGCACTGTTCCAAGAACTTCACAAATATTAGCAAATTTAATCCTCACCACAACCCTTTGAGGTAGATACTGTATTATCCCCATTCTACAGATGCGGCAACTGAGGTTATAAAGAGGCCAAATAACTTGCCAAGGCCACACAGCTGTTGAGTGGCAGAGTGGGACTCAGTGAGCAGCAGCCTGATCTCAGGCTCATTTTCTTAACCTGTGTTGTGCTGCTGCCTCCGTCTACATGGGAAACTTTGGAAATCTTAGCCTCCGCCAGCACTCCTGCTGGATAGCAGAATCGATCGACCCCTGTCTTGGTCCAAGTCCTGTCTCCACTGTTTACTGCCTGTATGACTTTAGACAAGTTTAGCCTTTCTATGCCTTTATTTTCTTATCTCTACCAAGGGTTCAACAACGTTCATACTTCATAGGGCTGTTGAGGGATTAAATGAGAGAATATGTGTAAAGTTCATAGAATCGTGGCTGGTACACAGCAAGTGCATAATAAATGTTTGCTGCAGTTATTGCCCTTTCAGAGTGGGAAAAAAGTTATAATTGAAACCTTATTACTACTTTCTCCCTTCCTTCCTTCTCCCCACGGCTCCCCCCCAAAAAAAGGCAAACACGGAGACAAGCTTCCAAAGTGGGCCTTCTGGTAAATAATCAAAAGTTGACTGTGCCTACCCCATCCTGCCAGCCTTGCCTTCTGAACCACTGGGCAGTAATCTTGTGTTGTAATTCATGCAGGCTACGGCCACTCGGACGCAGATGTTCTGCACCAGTCATTACTTGAAGCCAACATTGCTACTGAGGTTTGCCTGACAGCTCTGGACACGCTCTCTCTATTTACATTGGCGTTTAAGGTTTGTATCAATCAGCTGTTCGTGGTCGAGTTTTACCTTCCACATTCATTCTGCTTGGTAAGCTCAACCAGCGTAAACTGACTATGTTGCATTTGTACTTCCGCAATTGTTTTTGTCCCTTTAAAGGTTAAAGGAAACCATTAATCTTTAAATTCCTGTAATGAAATCATTTTACAGTGAATGGCTTGAATACCCTGAAAGAAAATTTAACTGGTCAGTGTGTGCTGCGTGCTTGGGCATGATGGAAACATGATCTCTGGAGGCAGTTAACTTTTGGCTGGAACTTTGAGGATTATGAATATAGGCACCTAATCAGGCATTTCTGCCTTGAATATCTTTAAATATATCCAAATGTTATAGCATTTAAATTAGATTTTTATGTAGAAAGGAGCAATAAATACAAACACATTCATTTTTTCAGTTTTTTATCAGTTACTACATTAAATGATAACATTTCGGAGGTGGATAATGAAACTTTTTTTTTTTATTGTTTTTAAGTTTTAGCGAGTAATATTCAAGTAGGTGGAGATGGAGTCTTCAGCCACTCTGTTTTTAGGAACCGAATACTTCTCCTTCTTGCTAAACGATTACTTCCATTTCTAGCATGGAAAGGAGAAATTGAATGAGTGTTTAATATGCCATAAATATTGGAACAGTTTGCTTATCTGCAAGGGTATTTGGGAAATAGAACCAAAGTCATTCTCTGCTTTACTTGTCTCCACTACTCCTAAAGCACATTCCTTTATTAGGAAGAATAATGATAGTTTTCCTGACATTGTGTCACTTTATTATTATATACCTTTACTCTCTTCAGACGCCATCCCACTCTTGTCCCCATGAAGCTCATTCCTAGGAGCCCAGTTGAGAGATGGGGAAATGAGCTTGAATGAAGTGAGCGCAGGGGTAGGAGTGCCTCGTTATCTGGAGCCTCTACTACGGGGGCTCTCAGACTGTGGTGTCCAGGCCAGCGTGTCAGAAATGGAAATCCTTGGGCCACTACCCAGACCCACTGAATCAGAAACTCTGGGCATGAGACCTGAACATCACAGTGGCTCTACTAGAAACATGAAAGAGGCTTTGGAACCTCTCTTTTCTTGTGGGTATTTTTAGTTAAAAATTCTTAGTAAATAGGCAAGGAAGGTTTTAAAAGTAAATGTCTGGCCATGCGTACCTGTATCAGTCTCAAACATGAATCATTAAGTTCAGAACAGCAGTGGCAACACCTTCTTCCCCTCTCTGCCTGTGCCCCACCAGGTAAATAAGCAGGAAATTCTGGAGCTGCAGAGCAGCATGGGGTGAGCTCCAGGCACACGGGGCACAAGCGCAGTCTGAGTGCACCTATGAGAACAGTGACGGTTTCCTTACCCAGCAGCCTGCAGTTCTAATTCAGCCCCCTTCAAGTTTCTCACTTAATAGTAAAGAAGAGAGGCCCGGCGAAGTGGCTCACGCCTGTAATCCCAGCACTTTGAGAAGCCAAGGTGGGCTGATCACGAGGTCAGGAGATCGAGACCATTCTGGCCAACATGGTGAAACCCCGTCTCTACTAAAATGCAAAAAACGTAGCCGGGCGTGGTGGTGTGTGCCTGTAGTCTCAGCTACGGGAGGCTAAGTCAGGGGAATCACTTGAACCCAGGAGGCAGAGGTGGCAGTGGGCCAAGATCACGCCACTGCACTCCAACCTTGCGACAGAGCAAGACTCCGTCTCAAAAAAAAAAAAAAACAGAGTGGTAAAGAAGAGTATTTGTCACTATTCCTGGATCTCTAAATATCTGGCCTCCAGTCTGGGAATGGGAAGGTAGTAGGGGCTCAGATGTGAACTCCAGGTTAACAGTAAGCACTTTTACCTGTGTTTGCTCCTCACTGGTCCTGTGGCAAAGAGCCTGATCCCTGAGACACCCAAGGAAAATTGAGCTTCTAGAGCTAAGGTGATCTCTGTCCAGGTTTATATGCCTGCATGCAAAAAATGTTTCCAGTTTAAAGCTCAGCACCCCCACTAGAAGGTAGGCGAATGGATGGTGCGCTCTGTGGCATTACTGGATGTTGGGCCGTGTGGTAAGACAGTCTTACCACAGACTCACAGCTCAGACTCACAGATACGAGAGGCTCATTAGCACCGCAGCCACTGGGATCTTTCTTTGCAAATATTTACTCAGTTGAGGTATCAGTTGGACCATATCAGAAGAGAGAGAACAGTGAGTGAGCTGGCATAATTCAAGAAAGTCATCTTTAACAGGTATAGCTCTGTGGTTACTGACTCTCTTAATTGGCTACATCTAATAGATTGCCAAAGACAATCCAGAACTCAATTTCCTAGTAAGAAAAAATGTCTGAAAGATTTAAACCCAGAATTCTGGTTATTATTATTACATTAGCTTCCTGCTATGTACTGAGTGCCTTCTGTGCCTCAGACATTAATCTTCATAACAGCTCTGCCTGATAGATCGAATTATCCCACATTTTATGGATGAGGAAATTGTGGCTGGGAGAAATTAGGAAATTTGCCCAAGATCTCTACACAACTGGTCTGTCCAAAGGTCTTGTTCTCCACTAAGTCAGATGTGTGTGAGTGTGCTTGTGTGTGAGAGAAAGATGGAGTTGTGTAAAGATCAAGGTATTTGAATGATCTCTTATGCAGACAGAAGAAAAACATTACCAAACACTTAGCAGATATCAGATATATACAAATCTGGACACATTCACACATGTTATCTCACTTAGTACATAAAAGGGTTTGTTTTGTAAACAGATTGTCACATGCAGAAAAATATGGTTTTTCTAATGTCTGTTATTAACACAATCCCAAACCAATGCTGGCCTTCAAGTAGTTTATGATATTTTTAATGTGTTCACAGATTTAATCTGTAAATGTGTTTTTAGCAGTTCCATTTAGTACCTCTTCTTGATCTGAACTGAGCAGTGAGAACTAACACATAATCAGGAGCAATAGGAACCAAGACAGGGAGGAGCACATGGGCAGCCGGAGGCTTGCAAGGCAGCTTGTGATCTGCTTTGCTCAACCATGAGCCTGGTCTGCAGACACATGGGGCTTAGGTCATCTTAGTGATTGGCAAGCATCTATAACAGAAATGGCTCTTCTCCAAACTGATTTTTTAATGTTATTTTACAATAATTGTGTACATAATGATAAATGCTGTCTGACTGGGAAGAGTTTGCTGTCTTAAATTAACTTTGTTCCAGGTACCTCATTTGGACACCCAAGGTTTGTTTTCCTCTGTGTTCCTGGGTCTTTTAGAAGTTACTGACACTGAGCATTCATTTGCTGAAAGGCCCGTCTCCTGGATTAAGCTCCATAAGAGACCGTGTTACAATGGTCAAACCTGAATCCAAGACAGAGAATTCCTGGAGAAGCAGGCTCCACTTTATTGCTAGAAATAAGCCATGCCTTTATATTATTCTAATGTGTCATTTAATTTCCTAAGTGAAAATTTCCCATCTTCAGCAAGAGTCTCTAGGGATAAAAAGATAGAAATAAGATACCCTGCCTTGTTATCTGTGGATATTTCTGAGTGGAACAGTTAAGGGTGATTTTTGTTTTGCTCTTTTTGCCCCCTGTGGGCCTTTCTGAATGTTCAAAGATGTGTTTGTATTTAGTGTATGTTACCTTCTATTTGATGAGAAAGCAGCAGGGAGACACAGAAAAAGAGGGAAGAAAAGTGACTGGAAAATAAAGGCAAGTAGCTAGGAAACTGTCCCTTTTGTCTGGGACAAAAGGTCCTTTATTCATTTAAATGGAGGTTATTTAAGTCTTTTTTAAAATAAATTTTATTGTATGTATTTGAGGTTTACAACAGGTTATGGGATACATAATGTAAATGAGCTTTAACTCCATTCTTGCAAACAAGTTTTGAGATGAGAGCTGAAGAGGACTAAATCCTGAAAATGAGAAGTAAAGGCCATGACCATAGAGAGGGAAAGGAGGAGAAATTGAGCTCAAGTAGAGAAACATGGGAAAAATAGAGAAACATTAGAAAAATGGGCCAGTTCAGATAGCAGAACTGGGAAGCTTGGGAATTTTTATAGAAACCATATCTCCTGGATAGCAAAGAGTGCTAAGAAAATGAAAGGTCACCTCCAGATTCACCCAAAACTTAATCCAGTCATAATTAGGAATGTAAATACATTGGAGAAAAGCAAGGCTTTCAAACTACAGCTCCTGAGAAAATGGCGTTCATAGATAAAACTTGTAAGCAGTTCCTCAAACACTGGAAATCACTTTTTTGTGTGTATGTGAACAGCTGCTCATAGTTGAGAATTAGATCATATTCATTTAAATAGTTCTACTTTCTGCTCATTAAATTGCTCCCCTTTCACATGATGGAGTTCAATGTGGTACCGTAGTATTTCATGATAGAAAGATCACTGTGAATTCCAGGTGTTCTGTCAGCTGTGATATATCCACAATTCACTGGACCTAAAAAAAACAAAAACTTACTCCTTGAGGAAAAATTTCCCTCCAACAAGGCAAGGTAGATGTTGCTCTGAAACTATGACTGCAAGCATAATTTCCTATGTAGCAAAATCATATGGACGTAAGTCACCCCTGTTCATTTGGCCGAATTGTAAGATTGGTTTGAGATACTGGCCTCTTGACATTTTCTTTTCTTTATAAATATCAAATCTGCCTACTTATGCAGAATGCACACACATATCGTTCCCCTGCAGAGCTTTGTTCAGACAGCTTGTCCATGTTGGAAAGCGGTGCTCTTCAGTGTCGTGCAGATTTAGACACGAAGCTCATCCTGGCTGCTTGCTGGGCCACACCTCTAGCTGCTGTGTATATTCTGCAGTTGATGGGAGTTGTAGCCAACCAGGCTTCCATAGTGTTTAATTTGTGTGAATTTTCTACTGACACAAGGAAATCTTGAGTGACTAGAGGCAGATTATAGTCTTCTTTTCTTTGATAAGTAAAATCCACAAATGTTAAAACCGTGCTAGATATCACCTACTGAGCTAGACCACAGTACGCATCAGATGGTTTCTCCACTTGATCTCACGTCTTCACAGTCACTGTTCAAGGTCAGTTTTAGGGTCATCGTTTTACAGATGAGGATGCTGAGACTCAGTTTACCTGGCAAAGTCACACCTATAATAAGTGGTACCTGACCAAAGCCTGTACATTTTCCACCTTCCCAAACTCTCTGATTATTCATAACTTAGCAGAGTGCCTTAGAGGCCCGGGGAGATCACCTTTCCCTTTTCGAAGCCCTGGTTCATATACCTTACTTGAGTATTTTTTCCCATCTATAATTAACGCATACCTGTGATGGCACTTCCCTGTTGGAATTAAGATGTCACAAATGACACCTCTGTATCAGCTGCTAGTAGACAGTAAAAATGAGTACATATTAATAAGTAGAAGCCCAGTCAGTACTAAGCAAGTGTTCCTTTCAACTGTATTATAGTTTGCTGGGAGGCTTAGCCTCAAAACATAAATGTATTGATAGTTCGTTCTACAAAAGAATTCTGTACTTTCCTAGAGGATTCAAGGCACAGTTTGTTTAAAGAAGTGTAAGTTGTCTTAATACTTAGAAAATGTACTTCTTGAGCCTGAAATTGCGTGAAACCTACTAGAGGTGACTGGTATGTCTAACAAAGCCGTCGATGTCTGTTTTCAGAACCAGCTCCTGGCTGACCATGGACATAATCCTCTCATGAAAAAAGTTTTTGATGTCTACCTGTGTTTTCTTCAAAAACATCAGTCTGAAACGGCTTTAAAAAATGTCTTCACTGCCTTAAGGTCCTTAATTTATAAGGTAAGTTGCTTCATGGGTGATGGTTAGAAGTTTTCCTCCTTCCCCCGGAATCGAGGGGTACATTACCGAGCACTGACCTGTCTGTGATTTATCTGCTTCCTCTCATCCTGTCTAGTTTCCCTCAACATTCTATGAAGGCAGAGCCGACATGTGTGCGGCTCTGTGTTACGAGATTCTCAAGTGCTGCAACTCCAAGCTGAGCTCCATCAGGACCGAGGCCTCCCAGCTGCTCTACTTCCTGATGAGGAACAACTTCGATTACACTGGAAAGAAGTCCTTTGTCCGGACACATTTGCAAGTGTGTGTGGTTTAGCTTTCCAATACGGATTTACTCTGTGCAATCCTGCTGTATCAGGAAAACTTTGAGTATCACATTGACCAATTTCCCTTGTCATAAAGATACTGCAAGATCTGGAAAACTGGGAAGCCACATTTGCTGGCTTGGTTTATTTCACGCTCTATTACTATAAGATCTGGACCCGAGATACGTTTCTGTTGGTAAATTGACATTTAAATATTGAATCAATATCAGACTGATTAAAATTCCATTGCATTTTCGTTTGTGTGAAATATGCAATGGGTAGACTGTCCTTTGCAATACTTTATCAGAACATGGATGTATTAACTATGCCACGGGGGGGCTCTGTCTTATCTAATACTCACATAGGTATTAGAACCTATGTGAGGATGCTTAATAGTAAACATTTTAGGTAAGAAACAAAAAGCCCAACTGAAGTGGTTCTTTTCTGTCCTCTATCTACTGACACATCTGCTCTCTCTCCAGAGTTAAAGCATCCTAAATTCTCTGCTCTGAGAGCCAGCCAAGATAATGACCAAACTTCCGTATTGTTGTAAACTCTCTTTTTCTACAAACACATGGTAGGGATCCCTCTTCCATCTCTGCATTTTACCCTTTTTTTTTTGGAAACAATATTTGTGGTCCACGTAGCATTCATGGATACAACCATGAACAAAACCACCCTCTCCCAGCCCTCATGGAGTGTAGTCTAATGGAGGTCACAGACAAGCTCTGGAACTCTTAGAGCACAAGTGTGACCACTGCTGTTGTAGAGGAATTTGAGTGGATCAGGAGGGGCACCCGGAGGATGTGAAGGATGCATAGGGCTCATGGTTGAAGAGTGGTGAGCGTGTTCCAGGCCACAGTAAACCACGGGGAAGCACTCGTCTGGGGAACTAGACACGTTCCTTACTGCAGAGTTTAGAATATGGGTGAGAAGGAGTTGAGGAGGACCCATGGTTGCATATCCAAATCGTGGCATATTTGGACAGATCTTCTGGACTCCAGTGTTGGTGATGGGTCAAGGCTAGTCTAGACCTCAGCTAGGGAGACCATTGTCAAAGCTAGGTCAGCAAGGATGCTCTCCTAGACCAGGGATGGTGAGGTCAGAAGGAAGAGGAGATTGAGTTGACAACATTTGGTGACCAATTGTACCTGGGTGTGGTGAAGGAAAAGGATAAATAAAGATGGACTCCATGCTTTAGCTCAAGCAATTGGGTAAAGGCAGTGCTATTCATAGAGCCAAAAAAAGACAGCGCCCCTCCATGGCATAGTTAATATATCCATGTCCTGATAAAGTATTGCAAAGGACAGTCTACCCATTGCATATTTAATACATGTAAGTTCAAACTGAAAACTGAGAAAGAAATCATGTCTTCCTCTTGGTTGGAGAAGGTAATAGGTAAGTGGATGGGCTTATCTCATTCTCCTCCTCCCTTTGCTCTCCTGATCGGCATTTTGCTTTGCAAACAGTGTTTTTTAAGGCTAGCAGAATCACTTTCTGGAATTACTCTTAAAGGGGAAGAAAGTACCTCAGACATTGTTTCCCACACTGGAGTGACCCCTGCTCAAAGCACCCCCCCCAGCCCCCACTGTCCCCTGTCCTCAGGCACATCCTAACTGAACACAGAAGCCCAGCCTGGGCAGTCATTTGAAAGCAAATTGATTTGCTCATGTTTGTGTGTCCCTAAGGTCATCATATCCGTCAGCCAGCTGATAGCAGACGTTGTTGGCATTGGGGGAACCAGATTCCAGCAGTCCCTGTCTATCATCAACAACTGTGCCAACAGTGACCGGCTCATCAAGGTGGGTAGCTTGGCCCATGTTAGTTTCACCCCAAGACTCTGCCTCAGCGCCTGAGGTGCATATGGACAGGCAGAAAACAGAGGAAGCCACGTGTCCTTTCTTCTTCCACCCTTGTTTTAGCACACCAGCTTCTCCTCCGATGTGAAGGACTTGACCAAAAGGATACGCACGGTGCTAATGGCCACCGCCCAGATGAAGGAACACGAGAATGACCCGGAGATGCTGGTGGACCTCCAGTACAGCCTGGCCAAATCCTATGCCAGCACGCCTGAGCTCAGGAAGACGTGGCTCGACAGCATGGCCAGGATCCACGTCAAAAACGGCGATCTCTCGGAGGTAGCCCTGCCAGCTGCTTGATCGGGTTTTTGATAAAAACAAACAAACAAACAAACAAACAAACAAAAAAAACAGTGAGGCCCCATTCACTAAAATAAGCCAGTTTTGAGAAAAATTATCCCATGAATCAAAAACCAATTAAAAATGTGCAAAACTTTAAATAGTATGAGACTCAGGGTGACTTCATAGTTAGTTGAGCATTTTAATAATTTAAAACAAATCGTAAGAGGTTATTTTTGCCACTGAAGAGCAATTGTTTAAGCTCTTAAACCTATTCATACAGTTTCCTGCTAATTAAAATACACATCAAAACTCCTCTGTAGTTCTAAAATTCGGCTATTTTATGATAAAATGAATTCCTCCTGTTATTCAAGGTCATGACAGGTGTTGCTTTCTCCTGCGTGAGGTAGTCCATTTCCTTTTGTGGATGCAGTAGGTATTCCAGCACTCCCTTCTCTGCAGAGCTGATGTGTTTCCATATGTAGACTGCATGGCCAGGAGTTGGGTGTGTGGGCTCCAGTACAAGTAATATTGGACTTTGAATCCAAGATCCAATATTAACTAACTCTGTGACATTGAGCCAGTTTTTTAACCCTTCTGTTGTTCAATGACATCATCTGTAAAATGGGGAATTGGAGAAAACAGTTGGCTGTAAGGCAGTCTGTGCTCCCAGGAGAACTCATTCAGTGTCTGTGCCTGAGATGTTTAGGTATGATGGACGGTATTACTATAGCAAGCAAGTTTTGACTTTTAAACTTTTATAACCGTTTGAATTAATAAACATACTCTGAGTCTGAAAATTTTAACTATATTTACATATTTATTTTTCAAGGAGTTCAATATGCTAAAAAGTACACATTAACATGACAGTTTTGTTTGACTATAAATTTAATGTAAACCGCACATTGGCCATAATAAAAAGGAATAACTAAGAGAAGTAATTTTTCTATGGTTCTAAGAATTTAAGATTCTTTAATGACCTATGTGGCCTAGGTCTCAAGAAAGAAAAAAAAAAAAAGAAAGGAAGAACTCACTGAGCTTCAGCTGTTCCTCTGTGAATTAGTTTTATGTGGCTGCCGTAACAAAGTACCCAGACTGAGTGGCTTCACACAGAAATGTATCCTCTCACAGTTCTGGAGGCAGAAGTCCAAGATTGCAGTGGCAGCAGGGTCGCATCTCCAAATGTCCTCAGGGACAACCTGTTCCATGCCTGTCCCTGAGCTCTTTGTGTGGCCAGCAGTCTTGATGTTCCTCGGCTTGTAGCCACATCCCTCCAGTCGCTGCCTCCGTGGTCTCGTGGCATCCTCCCCCATGTGTCTGGGTCCCTGTGTCTCCTCTCCTCTTCTGTGACACCAGTAATGTTGAATTTAGGGCCCACTACACACCAGTATGACCTCATCTTAACTAATTACACCCACACAGAGCCTGTTTCCAAATAATATCACATTGTGAGGTCTCAGGGAGGCCATAAATTTTGGGGGGACACCACCCAACCCAGTATACCCAGTGAATAGGGGACGAAAGCAGCTAATTTATAAGATTTCTTACTGCCCTTGCCGTGTCTGGTTTTGTGTATGTGCTCAGAAACCCGTCATGTACTTTCCTGCCTGTTCAGTGCATGTGACCCTGCTGTGCACTGCAAGAGGGACACACGTGGGAGGCATGGACTCTGCCTCTGAGGACTGGACAGTGCATAACTCCACTCTCCAACAGACTTCTCTCTGCACACATCAGAGTGCATGCCACACTGCTGACATTCATTGACACACGTGCACGTGGAGCAGCCTCCGCCAGTGTCTGTTGGCTAGCTAGGGGTGAGGGTCTAGAAGAGGGCACCACGCGGTGGCGCTCACCCCGCTGACAGGCACAGAACCGCGTGCATTAGAACCTTGCAGCGGGTTCACTTCCAACAGCTGTCTTTGATCTTTATAACACCATGGCAATTTGGTGAAAATAATTTTTTTTCTTTCAATTTAAGATATGTATAATGTTACCGATTTAAGGTTAAATTATGATTTTTATTTAGAATTTTATGTTTGGAAACAATTATAACTTGCTGTTAATTTTTAAGTCAAGCGAAAAATATATTAGCACCTGAAATTTGAGCCATTGTCTCAGAATCTAGGGAGGAGCACATGTTTTCTTCAAAGCATCCTCTTCGCTTTGAGAGAAATAATGCAGAAATATTAGGTATAGTAAGAGAAAAATGCTGCTTTTATCTTTTACTTTCCAAATGTAGTAATTCTATATAGAAACAAGTTTTAGCACATTTACTGCCATTTATCTCAACTCCCAATTAATTTCAAATTTTCAGCTTGTGTGAGTGGCTCCGCTCCTTTCAAAAGGGAAGATGTCAGCTATTAGAAACATTAGCTGGTGCATTGAGATCTAATATAGACGTTCATACATGGATTAGATTTCTGTTTGTGTGGGACATTGTGACATGCTGTTATGAACGATGATTCTGAGGCGTGTCTCTTCTATTATAGGCAGCAATGTGCTGTGTCCATGTGACAGCCCTGGTGGCAGAATATCTCACCCGGAAAGGTAAGGAATTATTCCCATGTTTTGTGACATTAATTAGTATAAAGCCATACAAAGCAGCAGACAAGTGAGAGCCATGCAGGAAGATTGGAAGGTGGGAATTTGTGTGTTTGTGAAGTGGATTCATTGTTTTATCCCCTGGCGTGATGTTTGCTTGAATTGGTGGGCACAGCAGAAATTCCAGGACCAGACAGAAAAGTAGATGACATGTTGTCCTGTAACCTCCTCTGACGGCTTCACTCTGCAAAAACTAGTTAATGAGTTTTGCATCTGGCCAAATCTAGCGCTAAGAAGATACTTTTCCCTTAAGATAGTTCCCACTGGAGCGATTAGGCAATCAAGAAGTTGTAACGGGAGATGATCAGACAGCATTTCTGCAATGCAGCCCAGCTGGCTTGATTGTCTGAGAGGGCAGCCTTTCTGGTGGAAACCTTGTCTCCCAGAGGATGGAGAGGGGGCAAGGCGTGATGCTGCATTTGTGCACTCTGCGTTTGTTCCCAGATGAGCAGGCCGTGAAGCCTTTCACAGGTTCCCTGTGGTTAAACAGCAGGTGCACATTTCCACTCCACAATCAGCACAGCCCCAAATGGTGACATTTATTTTTGGAATACTGAGGTTCTTAGAAAAGCTGGTAGTCTGCGTGAGTTACATGGGAGAAACAGCAGCACCAGATCTGGGCTAACGAGGAATAGACGTACGAAGTGAGAAATAGTGTGAAACCAAAGATGCCAAGGCCACAAACTATATTTCTGGTGCAGCTGGCTATTCGGAATGAAACAGCAGAGCCCCAAAGAGAAAAATTTGGAAAGGGCTCCATGTTCATTTAATACCAGTACTATTTCCTGTCGAGACCTTTTATCAGGTGATGCATTTCCTCATGTTTAGAAGCAGTCCAGTGGGAGCCGCCCCTTCTCCCCCACAGCCATAGCGCCTGCCTGAGGAGGAGCCGGGGAGGTGAGCCTGAGGATCAGCCCAGCCCCCGGGGACCCCCTGCCTGGTCACCTGCCCTCCCGTGGTGGGGGATTTGCCCTTTCAACTTTGCATGGACAGACTTCACTCTCCTTCCCTCCGACTCTGTGGCTCTCTGGTTGGCTGGTGGTCTATTCCCGTGGGCACAAGAGGAAAGCACCTTGGCCACCACTTTGGTCACTCCACTGGCGCCGAGTTAGTGGTGAAGTGTACTCCGTAGCCTAAAGCAGGGTGGTTGGTTTTTAATTTTCTAGTTTGTATGTTAATGTATCCTCAAGCCCCTAGATTAACGCTTTTCATGGGGGACTCTTGTTTCCGTATAACAAATAAAAACTAAACAGGGATAGTGGCAGATGCTAGGTAATCCATGAATAGTGTGGAAACCTGGGATCATGTGCAGCAGAAAAATCTCTGACTTTAGGATCTATGTTTTCAAGGCTTGATTTCAAAATGCCCTGTGTTCCTCTTTCTCCCTAAATGCAGAAGTCTCAATTCAAGTTTTTACTTCCGTTTTATTTTATTGTGAACAGTTATCTCAAAATAGAGTAGTGGAACATCTCATGCCCTTCTTCACTTGATCATTTTGCATAGCTGACATGGTCCAACTGACGTAAAGCTGTTTTCCAGTGACTGTGAGATGAGGAAAGGTCCTGAATGGGCGGTCATTGCTTCAGAAACATCCTTATCCCAGACATTGATCCTGCCTCTAAGCTGACACCCTTTCCCGTTGGAGAATCAGAGTGCCCAGGCATCCATGCGCTCTGTTGATGCAGCCAGCCACCTACCCCAGGGCTGTTGGGGTGGGAACCAGCTAAGGCAGCCTGTCTGCTCACCATTATGGCCACGGAGCTACACCTGGGTTGTGTGGGGAAGCTCTCATCTGAGACATGTGTTCTTCCCCGGCCAGAGTGGGTGAGGTGGCAGCTTGAAGGAAACAGGTCTTTTTGAATCATACATCTCTCCTGTATTGGCTTTGCCTTCATTTTTCTTATCTCAGCACAAGTCGTCCTACCAAGTCAAATTTTCACGTATTGTTATTTTACTATTAATTTAATACCTATTCCTCAGTTTATTTACAGTTTAATATTTAGAGATTGCATACATTTTAATCCAGGTAGATAAAAAATTAAAAAGGGATAAGGAGAAGAAAGTGAAAGAGGTGAGGGTTCACTATAGGGACGAAAAGCACACAGGTACCCCCGTGAATGCTGGCATGGTGCCTAAGAGATTTCAAAATCCGTTATTTCATTCAACACAGAAACACACAGGGCGGGAAAAACCCTCAAGGTTCACCCATGTTCAGGTTCCTAACTCTGACTCTCCCTCCTCCCTCTCTTCCTAGGCATGTTTAGACAAGGATGCACCGCCTTCAGGGTCATTACCCCAAACATCGACGAGGAGGCCTCCATGATGGAAGACGTGGGGATGCAGGATGTCCATTTCAACGAGGTGCGTGCTTGGACTCACGTGGGCTTTCAGGCACTGGGGTATCTGGGAGCTTGCTGTTTGCATTGCTAGTGCATCAGACCAGGGCTTTTTCCTCCCTGTAGCTGCTGCTTATACACGTAGTTCTAACTGAGATGATTCACCAGAAAACTGAGGCAGAGCAGCAAAAGCTTCTGCCGTTCTCCTCTTCTAGGAGTGCCTCCTTTTCTTTGGAAAGAGGTTGTGAGGGCTTAGATTGTAGTGAAGTGAGGCTCAGCACTTGAACGCATCCAGTAAAAGTTCCAATATATTGGTCATAAAGTTTCTCATTATTTATAGCAGTTAATTTCTCTGGCTCATGAGTTTTCTTGGTTTTAATCTGACTTTTAAATTAATGTCTCCAGCACCAGTCATCTCCCCAGGGCCAAACTCAAAGGCATGAGAGGCCAGACTTGGGTTCTGGTCATAGCAACCCCTGTCTAGGGCCTTGGTCCCTGTCTTACTTGTGTGCTGTGGCCCAGGTCCTATGGGCCCTTAGGAGACAGGACCACCCTGTCCCACCCCCTACAGAGAACAGCAAGTTTGACATTAGATCACCATAGCAATTTCTGCAAATTCTAGTTTCTTGCTAAAACAGATTAGCCTTGCAGCCACTTATCTGTAACTGGAGAGTTTTGAAATAAAACTAGATATTTGAATAAATGCCAGTTTTCTGCTGGCATTCACTCTGTTTCCTTTTCCATGCCTATCTGCCTGAAGGGTTCTTTGTGTGCACCTGCCCCCCTTCAGCCCAGGGCAGAATGAAACAGCTGAGGGAAAGCTTTTTAATCCTGCCCATGTTTTAAGGAAAATGAAGTTGTCTAGTTTCTCCCATGGAGTGGAGGAGCAAACCAAGAAAGGAGTCAGTCTCTTCTGCCTCTGCTACACCTGCTTCATCCTGACTTCCAGGGCCACAGTGGTGTGGCATAGGGTTGATACTGGGGCTTTTAACCATTCTCATGCCAGGGAGGCGGGCCCTTGAACGCACATCCTCATGACATGAGCTAGGCCATAATTCAGTGGTTCTCTAAGCGTGGTCCTGGAACCTTTCAGGGAGTCTTTGAGGCCGGTACGCTTGCTACTGAAGGTCTCTGAGGCTGGGTTTCCTTTGTATGCAGTGACCCAAACGACCTATCAAAGAGGCTGGGTGCAGAATGGATGCACATTCGGGCTTATCCTACAAAATCAAACAGTAAAGAGAGTTGTAAAAATGGAAAATAGTACTACTCGTCACTCTTTTTTTTTGGGAAAAAAATCCTTTTTTATTTAAAAATGCTATTTTTAAAACATGGAATAGGTTTATTGTTTTCATTAAATTAATAAGTAAATCTTAATTTTGTTTCGGTTTTCATATCTAGTATTGTAAATATTGAGGGAGACCATTCACATAAACTTTGGGGTCCTCCATAAATCTTAAAATCTACGAAGGGGTCTTGAGCTCAAAAAGTTTAAGAACCACTGTTGTAAATTGTCTAGTCTCAAATGGCCCTCAAAATTAAAAACTAAGCATGAATTAAAAGGATAACATATTGAGTATAATTCGTGTTTAAATATTAAGATAATTTAAACCTCAATAAAGTTTTCTAGGTATCCTACAACAAAAGAAAGAGATGGGTTATTACATGGTGTTAACAGTTCTGCTGTTTCTCCACCTTGAAAGGCCTGGGTGGATGGTCTTTTTTGTTTGTTTTACTTTTGACTCTCAAATATGGAACCTGCCACCGAAGGATCAAGGCCCACATAGTCCTGGCTTTGAACTCCTCGCTTCAGGCGAATATCGACTGAGTTTTTCTCTGAGAAGAGGCGTGACTGCCTTGTCTCCTTGCAGAAACACCCTGGCGCCTCTGCCAAGGCAGACCTCTGGAGTGTGCCATTTTGTTCAGAATTCGATAAGGAAAGCAACGATGCCAGGAACAATTAAGGATTGGAAAGTAGACCATTTTTAGTGACCTATCCTGCAGAGCTGATAAAAGGAAGCTTGCATTTGTTCATCTGATTGAGTAATAGGCTGAGATAGTTATTATGTTAGCGCCTAATGAATTAGCCTGTGATATCAAGTGCAGACAGCCTTGGGGAAATAGTGAATGGCGCCCCCTCTAAGTAATAACTAAGCCTGTGACAAGGAACCCTTTATCAGCTATTTTCAGAAGATGGATTCGTCACCTTGTTCTTGAAGCATAAACTTAGAAAATCTTTAACAAGGTCCATAGTACATGACAATCTGTGGTGATTAGGATGTGACACAGCAGGGTTATAAAGTCCTGAGCGAACCTTGCACATCCAGATTGAAACTAACGGGGAGCGGAAAGACTAACGTGTTCTAAAAGGCAAGACATCTGAAATTACCAGGCACGTTTTCGCATTGGCTGCCAGGATGTTGCAAGAAAAAGAGAGATGAAAATCTCTGCCAGAGAGGAAGGACTTTGGGGAAAATCTGATGGGAAATAACTGTATAACAGTTTAATAAAAAGCATTGCCCTTTTAATCTACATTATTAGATATAATTAAATGCCTGAGATGTTCTCCTAAAGTGATTTTTAAAGGGACACTACCTAAAAATACTCAATTCTCTTAGCAGCAGGCCTCAAATGAGTTTTTACTGGCACCAATTCCACCTTCCTTGACTCTGATCCAAAGAGCAGACTCGTTTCCAGCTGCTTTTCATTAATAAAGAGAAACCTCCAATTCCTATTTACAATTTTGTTTCGCGAGACTGAGCCTGTGTAGATTGAAGAATTCAGAGTTTCCTGTGGTGTCAGAATTCCCCGTGGCCCATGTAGTTTTGAGATCCCTCCCTTGTTAACGAATGCAGTACCGAGGTCCTGGAAGGATGCAGGTAGCATAGTTGGGAGATTGAAGAAAGTCTAAGAAAGGGACTGTTTTTAAAAGTTCAGAGAGGGTTTAGGGAAGCCAACAAGAAATGTTACAGTGCCCCGAGGTTAGCAGCAGCTGGGTGTCGCCCCTTAACCTTAGGAATAACGGGGGAGAAAGGGAAAAATTACATAGAAGGACCACCTAGCAGGACCTGTGAGCTTTTTAGTAAAGGACTCCTCAGGGCACCCACACAGGGAGGGAAGGAGTAACTGCCCACCTCACTCTCCTCCTGCCCCCCCAGCATCCTGCTGGGGCCTGCCGTTGGCCAAACTCGACAGCAACCGGACAGGAAGTCACCATGCAGAAGTCCTGCTGTGTCTGCTTCCCAGAGCAGAGTCCGGAAGAACAGGGCCCAGAGGAGCTCCAGAGGGAAAAGTAGGAAGTACAGATAGGTGGATCCTCATTATCCACCTATCTGCTGAAATTTCTTTGTAGCCCCCAAATCAATACTCCATGGTACTTTTGTGGTCATTCAAGGATATGTACAGAACATCGAAAGATTTTACCACTCCACTGTGTTTCTAGCTGAGGCTGAACCAGGCAACGCTCTGCTTCTTGTCACAGCTCTCATCCCATGGTCAGAGGTGTTCAAACCAGACTGACGCCATCTTGAGTGAGGGCTGGGAAAATGAGACTGAGACTTGCTGGGCTGCTTTCCCAGAAAGTCAGGCATTCTGAGCCTCTAGATGTTCACGGTTTAGGGGTCAAATTAATAATGTTTACTAGACAGACCCAGACTGGGGAGTGTCCAGATATCCCAATATCTGGAGAAGAAAGGCATTCCTGATTTTTCTTTAAAGATAATATTGATTTTTGCAAAACACATTAATTAAGAAAATTATTCCTTTATCACAAATCCTCATAGCAGAGCACATCTCCCCATGTATACGAGTAATGTACCTAGGGTGGATGTGTTCCTCCTCTGACTTTCAGGAACACCCTACTCTGTCTATGGAGTAGCTGCACTTTCACCACTTTACTTCCTTAATAAACTTGCTTTTACTTTGCACTGTGGACTTGCCCTGAATTCTTTCTTACACGAGATCCAAGAACCCTCTCTTGGGACCTGGATCAGGACCACTTTCCTATAACACCACGAACAAGCCTCCTTTGGTGGTCTACTTAGTGCCATGTTTTTCACATTTGTGTGGATTTTGTTGGTGGTTCGCTCTTTAAAATGGCCCCAGGGAAGCGCTTAAGTGCTGTCTGGAGTTCCTAAGTGCAAGAACACTGCCAAGTGTGAGTTACATAAGCTTTGTTCAGGTGTGAGTTCTAGTGCTGTTGGCTATATATTTAATGTTAATGAATCAACAATATGTATTTAGTTAGGCATCTTTAAACAAAACACATAAAACAAGTGTAGGTATTGATTGGTTAATGAAAATATTGTAACCAGAGGCTCCCAGGAACTGAACCTTGCATTTTCTTTGGGAAGCAGGCAAGTATTTGCTAATTCACAGTGATGTTACAGAACATAACTACCTCGGATGATGAGAACTGACTCTACCTAGCACACAAAACTGTTGTTTTACAGAACTACAGGTCTCGCCATTGCAGAATTGCTGCTGAATGTAACAAACATTATATGAACTTCACGAGGCCAGTCTCTGGCTTCTATTAGTCAAAATTGTTTCTATTCAGGAATAGTTGCCAGTAAGAAACATAGTGTTTACATCCTTAGACTATCCTAGGAGATAGAGACATCAACAGAACACATTCAGGGATTCCTGTTTACATCTCATCCAAGCGTGGCAGTAAAACCTTTAGAGCCAGCTCATCTCCACTTTACCCTTGACTGACAGTGCTCCTGGAGCCATGAAAGTCACATGGCACGTCCTCACTGTTACAACGATTCTCCACAACAGTAGTAGCAGTGAGTAGGGAACTTGGCCAGTGGAGCTTGGGTAGCTGTTCTGCCTTTGCTGGATGCCAGCACATCACACTGCCCTGCTTCATTTTGCAAATGTGGACTGGGCTTCCTTGGCACTGAGCTGGGGGCCGGAGGTCTGAGAGTGAGCAAGCTGTGGTCCCTGCCATAGCACCCTACACTCCTGCTGCAGCTTCCCGCCCTCTGAGGAGAAACACCTCCACCACAGTCCCTTCAGTCTGAA